CGGCCTCGCCCCCTCCCGGGCCGGGGGCTGGGGGCCGGCCGGGGACGGCGCATGCGCACGTCCGCCAGGCTCCGGCGCCTGCTCGGTCGTCCTACGTCCCCGACCGTCCCGGCGACCCTCGGGCCGGGCCTCCCCATCAACTCGCCATTGCGCGTCTCTCGGAGCGCTCCTCCGCGCCTCCGCAAGCCTCAGCACGGAGCCTCTCCGGGCGGCCGGTGAGAGGGCGGAGGAGGCAGGGCGGTGGGGGAGCGGGGGGCGCCGACGCCTGCGCGGGGCCGGGTGTCGCGGGCGGTTGAACCCGCGCCTCGGCCCGCGCGCAGGCGCCCTGGGAGGAGGCCGGGCACGCGCCGACCAATGAGCGCGCGGCCTGCGGCCCGCCCCTTGTCCGGGCTGCCCTCGGGCGAACTCCGCGCGGGGTCCCGGGGCCGGTGGGCGCCGGCAGGTGCAACGAGGGGGTCCCCGGTGCGCACGCGCCTGCTCAGCCCAGCGGGGGCGGCCGGGGCAGCCGGGGCGGCCGGGACAGCCGAAGGGCAGCCGGGGTTGCCCGGGCAGCCCAGCAGCGTGGGCGGCGGAACTGGCTGGACGCCCCGCCGGCCCGGTCCGAAGCGGGCGGGGATGGCGGGAAGAGGGTCGGCGTGTGCCCGAGCCTGGGTGTCTGCGTGGCATCTGTTGTTAACTCGCTGCGGAGTGAAACTTATCATCTTTTTTTTTTTTCCTGAAACCTGTTAGGATTTCAATCTCAGAGTCAGAAAAGGGAGCGACAGCGTTGGCGCTGATGGGCCTCCTTTCGCGGGTCCTGCCCTTTTTCCGACCCTGAGAAGTACCTGATTACAAAAGAAGGGAAAGTCGCCTGCCGTGAGCCCACGTGGGCGGAGTGGACCCTTCAGAACCCCCTTGTGAGAGTGATTAGAGCAAGTGAGGCTAAGCCTGCACCAACTGTGCCAAGTGGCCAGAGCTCAGGCCCTGACCCCTCTGCTTGGCACGAGCTGTTGGTGGTGGTGGCCGTGTCTGTCTGGCCAGTAGCTGAAGCAAAACAAGCCGGCTTTCCTCGTTCGAGTCCCCGTTGTTCCGGTTTCTCCCTGTTGTCAATGGCTGTCTCAGTTTGGTTGCAAACTGTACGAAAGAAGAAATGCCTCTTCTAGCACTGAGTTTCAGGTGAAATGTTTTGCCTTCTGAGGCAGAAGCTGGTGTGGTATATGAAGTTATTTCCAGTGAGTTGTGAATTGTGCCCGCCGCCTGCCATCCCCACATTCCAGGTGTGCCATCTGGGAGTTTCCCATCATGCTCCTGTGTGTCTGTATCCTTTCCTCCATCGTTTGTAGTAATCCGTCCCGTCTCCATTTCCGCTTCTCCTTCCCTCTCCTGGACTGTCAGCTCTTGGAGGGCCGGGCTGATGGGGTTCGCTTGCCGGTGCTTTGAGCTGGAATCTGAAGGTGTCCTGATGAGTGAGTGGGTCAACCTGGGATGACCGCCTGCCCAGTTACTTGGTAGCAGGTTTGAGGCCTTTTCCACATGGCGGATGGACCCAGTGGGGTGAAGAAAGGAGCCACTCACCTGAGAATTTAAAGATGGGGTGTTGTGGATGCCCCAGGCCTTGGCAGCCCTTGGCAGCAGCAGGGGCGCTCCCGCTGGGAAGCTGTCTCGGTCTGTTCGTTGTGATACCCAGTCCTGAAAGAGGAACACAGAAGCTCTGAGTCTCTGTTCTTCATGACAGCTGTATTTCCCGCAGTAAATTAAAGAGTTGATAACATTGTTACAGCCAGGCCATTTCTGACTTAATTTCCCCAGAACCTGCTCCTCCTATGATAACATTGGTGATGAAAACTTGACCTTACACTGCTTGTTGGTGGAGAAGTGAGCATCTGAGTACAGGGAGCAGATTGCCCAGCCTCCTTCCCTAACTAGTGTAAAAATTGCCGACTCTGAGTTTCAGGTTATCTTAAAACCCAGCCTCCTTTGAGGCGGGCACAGTGGCATCCTAAAACTGTCACTTCCAATCCAGCGTCCTGCTAATGCTTCTAGGAGAGTCCTGGAGGATGGCCCAGCTCTTTGGGCCCCTGCACCTTAAAAAAAACAATTCTTTTCCTCACAAGTGTGTAAATTGCCAGCGCTGAGTGCCGTGTTAAAATCATTTTTTGTTTTGCATCAGTTTAAATTAGCAGAGTCAAGTAGAAATGTAAGCCTCCAACACAGTTTTAACTTTTATAATAATTGTAAAAGACAGTTAAAACTAGGTTGCTTTAATTTTGGAAAAAGTAAACGAAATTGCTTTTAATCAACTACTCAATAAGACCAATATAAAAAATGATTAACGTGCTTGTCTGGTCTGGTCTGGTTTGATCTGGTCTGGACTGGTTTGATGTGGTCTGTCCTGGTCTGATCTGGTTTAAATCACCTCTGAAGTGCAGTGCCTGATGCAGTGAGAATGCTCGGGAAGTGGTTGCTAAGTGCCTTGCTTGGGGATCCATGTGTTCAGGACAGTGTTCTCCTTGGACATTTTCAGTCCCCGGCTGGTCGAAGGTAGCACTCACAGATACAGAGGCGCGTGTGCTTGACATCTTTACGTGGTGTTAAATCACTAAACTCCAGCAAATCCTTGGCACAGTTGAGTCTGAACTAGCTACATTTCCCCACAGCAACCCCGTGCAGCTGGCACGTAGCTGCCTTTTTAGACAGCACAGACCTGGATGTCAGATTCTCTTACTCTACTGAAATGCAAAGCAGTCTACTCACACAGCCGGCGATTTCAGCCTGTTTGTGCTTGTTGTGGGGAAATGGGGTGTGGGGTGCTATGTGTGGAATGTTGTGATTAGAACATGACTTGGCTCCCAAACTCAGACAAGACTTTAGAACCCAAAGTCCTAAGTGAAGGTGCTAACTTCCTGACCCGCTCTGTGACCCACACACTCCTCCACTACCATCTGCCCACCTCTTAGGCCAGCCTGAGAGACTAGAACCTCCAGAATTATTCTAAGTTAAATAAACCTGCTTCTTTCATAAGTAGCCAAATCTAGAAGCCATGATTCAATGTTCAGAGTTGCATTTGAGGATCATGTGTAGGAAAATTTATTCTCACATTTCCAAATACTAATTTATTTATTTGTTTGTTTTTCAATGTATTTACTTATTTATTTGCAAATCAGAAAGAGAGGCCCGGCCTGGTACCCTAGTGGCTAAAGTCCTCACCTTGCTTGCACTGAGAATCCCATACAGGCACGGGTTGATATTCCCAGCTGCTCCACTTCCCTTCCAGCTCCCTGCTTGTGGCCTGGGAAAGCCATAGAAGACAACTCAAAGCCTTGGGACCCTACATCCACATGGGAGACCTGAAAGAGGCTCCTGGCTCCTGGCTTCAGATTGGCTCAGCCCTGGTTGTTGCAGCCACTTGGGGAGTGAACCAGCAGATGGAAGATCTTTCACTCTGTATCTGTTTCTCTATGTAAGTATGCCTTTCCAAAAAAAATTAATGTCTTAAAAAAAAGAAAATCAGAAAGCAAGACAGACCCTCCATCCAGTGGTTCCCTCCTCGGATGGCTGCAACGGCCGGGGGGTGGGGGAGGCCAGGCGGACGGCAGCAGTCAAAAGCTTCATATGGGTCTCTTGTGTCAGTGGCTGTGACCCAAACAGTAAATCATCTGCTTTTCCCAGGCCTTCAGCAAGGAGCAGGACCACAGGTGGAGCAGACAGGACTCAGACTCAGATTTAAATAAATACCTGTAAGCACGTGCAGAAACCAGGAAGCTCTTGCCATCCCAGTCAACCAGAAAATAAATTCAAGTATCCACTGTTGTTTGTTTGAAAATGCAGTTTTTAAAACTCTAAGCCTTGGTTTTTGTTTAAAATAGCATTTCTGTTGTTAATGACAGTAATGCTTCATCATATTCCTTTGGCTCAGATGTAGCCATCTCATATTGAAAACATCAGTTACTTATTATTTCATGGATGATGCCCTTGATTTTTAAAGCATGCCCAAAGACTCTAGATTTTCTCCTTTGTTATCTTTTATGAGTTTGCTATTTAAGTCTGTACCCCATTTTCAGTTGGTTTTCGTGAAGGGTGCAAGGGATGTGTTTAATTTATTTTGCATGTGGATGACCAGTGGGTCAATGTCATTGAGTGAATGCTTGTCTTTGCTCTATTATATTGCCTTTGTTCAGAAATCTATTAACTACATGTGTGCGGGCCTCTTTCTGGATTGTTAGTTCTGTATTATTGCCAATATCTTACTGTCTGGACTATGGTAGGTTTAGGATGACTTTAGGCAAATCTGGAAGTTGGGTAGGCTCAGTGTTCCAACCTTGTGTTCATGATTGAATCGGTTGATCTTGTTCTTTTGTCTCTGTATGTGAACTTTAAAACTTGTTTGTTACTGTCCACAAAATAATTTGCTGGGATTTTAATTGGGAAGAAAACCAAATTGGGAAGAACTGACATCTTTGTTGTTGCTTATTTGTTTGTTTGAAGATTTATTTTGAAAGACAGATGTGCAGAGGGAGAGAGGGAGGGAGAGCAAGAGCTCTCCCATCCACATCTTCATTCCTCAAATGGCCACATGGCCACAGTTGGGCAGGTCGGAAGCCAAGATCTGTGTCTTCATATCTCCATGTAGGTGTGGGACCCAAGTACTTGGTCCATCCTCCGCAGCTCCCAGCAAGAAGTTGGGTTGGAAGTGAAACAGCCTGGAGTAAAATCCATGCCCATATAGAAGGCTGGTGCCACAAATGGCAGCTTTACCTGCTGTGCCACACAACCAGCCCAGGACTGACATCTTGACAGTATTGGGTATTCTTAGTCATAAACATAGAATACCTCTTCTTTTATTCTGACCTTTGACTATTTCATTAGAGTTTCATGGTTTTTCCTATATGTTTTTATACATATTTTATGAGATTAATTCCCAGGCATTCCATTTTGGGAGGTGATACTATAAATGATAATGTGTTTGCAGTTTCAGAATCAGCTTGTTCACTTGTGGTATCTGCTTAACTTTTCAGCAATTAATGGGTGCCCAGAAGTTGGCCTACATACATATTCAGAAATGTTTCACCACCTGAGACCTTTGAAGAGGTGAGATTCATGGTCCTAAAGTATGATGGGGAACAAGAACAAACAAGGAAGGAAAGAAATAAGGAAATGTGCATGAACAGCCAGCTGGTTCTCCCAGAGTCCATTCTGAGCAGCTGGGAAAAGCAGCCTGATTTTTCCCAGAGTTCCATGTGGAAGACTTCAGAGAAAAAAAAGATCACGTTCCAAGTTACCCCTCAGCACAGTTCTGTTTATGATATGATGTCCCAGACGTGTAGGGCACACACAGTTAGGAAGATTCTTTGTAATGAGAACGCCTGAAGGAAGGTTCTTAGGGAAGAGGGTGCGTGCCCTTGGCACATCACGGGGTACAGTTGTTCAGTGAGTAAATGCAGTTTGGATCTTGGAAGAGAGAGGCAGGGAGGGAGTGTTAGGGCTCAGCAATCATGTAGAACAAAATGATTTTTATAACGTGTGATTGGCGGTCAAGTTGGTCCTCAGATATAAAGCGCATGTGGAATGGCAAGGGACAGACAGGAGAGCCAAGCAGGGAGGGGCTGTGCGGTGCAGGTTTGCCATGCTAATGGATGCCAACAGAGAACATGGAAGAAGGACAGATTTCTCCCAGGCCCTGGAGAGGGAGAAGTTGCAAGAAAACAGATAGAGCAGGGGAGCCAACTTGCGTTTTGAACTTAGCAGCACCAGGAAAAGTGGCTACACAGTGACCCAAGTAAGAAGGTGACCCTGAACCAACTGACTGAGCCTGTGAGCAGGCTGTGCCCTGTGACCAGGCTGAGTTTAGAAGGAAAATATTGGCCCCTGCAACTTTTCCAGATGTGTGAAATACAGGTGGCCAGGAACAGAGCTCGCTTACGTGTCACGCCTGGAGACATATCGGAAATTCAGACGGGGCTTGGCAGAGCCAGCGCTGCCATTCAGCTGGGCGAGCTCTGAATGTGGACTGACATGCTGCATCAGCCGCTTCCTCTGCCCTTCAGCTCCTGCGAACACTCTGCCCGCAGCAGCGCGCATCAAACACAGGCGAGTGGCCAGAAAAGCCTTGGCAGTAGATCTCCAGAAGTGATTATTATGGTCTGCACCATTTTAAAAATGTGAAGACTTGGCCAAAGTCTCCCACACCTGATGTAGGAGAATAAAAATGCCGTGTTTGGAGATTCCTTATGTGTCCAGTAGAAATGATCAACTATTAAAACAGCCAGAAGTCAAGATGACTCCGTTCAAGCTTGGAAACAGTGCTGCTTAAACATTCAGAGCGGGTCATGCCAGAATTAACGCACGTGTCAGGTTATCCCAACAAGCACAATGTTAGCATGCTTGCATGAGGAAATGAACTGGAAGACATCTCATCTCCTTTTAAATATAATTCTCAGTATTTTCCACTACAAATTAAAAGATGCTGTGAGACACTGTTTTTTTTTTCCTTAATATAAAGAAAATTGCCATCGTTTTCAGTGAGAACAGTTAATATTCCAAAGATCTTTGAGGTTCAATTTTGTTGTTTCCCGTTTCTCATAGAGGAGCAGCAGCCCAAGTCCCCATTTTAGAAACCATGTAGCATGTTCTGCCTGTTGAAAATGTTGTGTGTCACAAAACCACCCAGTGTCTGCCTTGTTTCCGTGGTACTTGCCCCGCCTGTCCCCGCGTCGCTGTCATACACAGGACAAGGCTGTGTCAGCGCGTGCGTGTGCCCCGGCCAGTAATCACACCGCGTCTCTCCAAAAGGTTGTGTCTCCGAAGAATGTGTCCGCACTCCTTCCTGTGCTCCAGAGCGCTGTCCGGGGCAGAAGCCCTCAACGCCCTCAGGCCGTTCTACTTCGCCGTGCACCCGGACTTCTTCGGGCGACACCCCAGGGAAAGGGTAAACACCAGCTCATTTTCCGACTTTTAGCCCGCGTTGCCGCTTGTTTCTTTAACCTTTGAGACGGTATAGTACAGTTGTAAAACTGCAATATTCTGTCACAGTGATATAAACAATGCTTTTAACTAGTGTGAAATATTAAAAAATACTTCCATAAAAATGAGTAGATCTTCAAATTAATACAGTTAGCAAAAAAAAAAAAAAAGAAATACTGAACATTGACAATGTATTGCTTTTTGTGAAAGCTGTGATCATTTGAACTTAGGATGGTTGATAGAGCAGTATATACTATGGGGTTATTTCATTGGCCCCTTTATCTTCATCAGCAATGACACATAATTTAATGTGAAAAGAAACTCTTGAAAATTAGGACACTGGGGCCTAATGCAATAGCCTAATGGCTAAAGTCCTCACTTTGCATGTGCCAGGACCCCATAAGAGCACCGGTTTGTGTCCGGATGCTCCACTTCCTTTCTGGCTCCCTGCTTGTGGCCTGGGAAAGCAGTCGAGGACAGCCCAAAGCCTTGGGACCTTGTACCCGCATGGGAGACCTGGAAGAGGATTCCTACTCCTGGCTTCAGCTCAGCTCAGCTCCAGCCATTGCGGCCACTGGAGTGAACCAGCAGGTGGCAAATATTTCTGTCTCTCCCTCTCTCTGTAAATCTGCCTTTCCAATAAAAATAAGTGAATCTTTTAAAAAGGGGAAAAGAAAATTGTAACAGTTATTTTATTTCCATTTGCAACAACAACAAAAAAATAGTTTTGCTTCTTTGCCCTGGGGAAATATTCTGATGATTATTTTGCTTTATACACGTTGGCTATTCAAAGTCAGAACCTTCCTAAGTAATCACTAAATTAAATAAACAATGCATTTCTTGGAAATGTATTGAGAATTTAAAGCTTTTATATTCACATGATTGGAAAAATCAGTCCAAGCAACAGTTACCTCTTTTTCTTCCTCTGCTAATTTTTATTTATTTATTTAAAGAGTAACAGAAAGACCTGCTTTCCATTGGTTCATCTCAACAGCAGGGACTGTGCCAGGCCAAAGCTGAGAGCCAAGAACTCCATCCTGGTGTCCCACGTGGGTAACAGGGACCCGAGAACTGGCCCATCGCCTGCCGCCCTCCAGGTGCATTCAATGCAGGAAGCTGGAACGGAGGCAGAGGTGCAGCTTGATGCAGGGCCCTCTGATGTGGGATGCGTGTGTCCCAAGCAGTGGCGTAGCACATTGCAGCACAAACTATCTTTAAATTGAAAGTTCTTGGGTTGGTGCAGTGACTCAACCCAAGTCCTCTACTAGTCTCTACTTGCAAGTGACTGCATCCCATCTGGGCACCAGTTCATGTCCCAGCTGCTCCACTTCCAGTCCAATCCCTGTTAATGGGCTCGGAAAGCAATAGAGGATGGCCCAAGGCCGTGGGACCAGGGGAGACCTCGAAGAGGCTCTTGGCCTCCTATCAGCTCAGCTGCGGCCCTTGTGGCCATTTGGGGAATGAACCAACAAATGGAAGATCGTTTTCTCTGTCTCTTCTTCTCTCTGTAAATCTGCCTTTTTAATAAGAATATATTTTTAAAAAATCTTTAAAAAGAAAAAAGAAAGTTCCTTGCACTAGGAAGGAGCAAGCTTGTCCTGTGTGTTCCCACAGCCTGACTTCAGTACTGGCCTGTGACAGGCTTCTAGGAGGTAAGTTCTCGGCCCTTGGGACATACTGCCCGATGAGAATGCTCCTGAGGGCCTGATGGTGTGTGCCGGGCATGTGACTTGGGACAGACACTCATTTTTGTTCACTGGGGCTGTATCGGTTTGACCTCGGACAGGACACTGTCTGTGGTCAGTGCACAGGCAGAGTGACTCCCAGCTGCAACCCGCACGTGCAGGTTTGGGTGAGCTTTCCTGCTTACACCACACTTCTCACATCCTGTCCCACCTCCTTGCCGGGGACACAGGTCTCCACTGGGAAGTGGCACCTGGTTTACCCTGGGGTCTCTGGGGACCTTTTCCCCTTGCTGAGTTCAGCCTGCAACCTTCTGCTATTCTAAGCCACACCATGAGTGTAACAATTTTCCAAATTCTATGGATCTTTCTAGCAAATCCTTAAACCTGAATGTGGCTCAACAGAGCGCCTAGAATTTCATTGGTCTGGGAAACCCACATATTTGTTTGCTCTTTCAACCTGGCACACTGGGTACCTCCTGTGTGCCAGCCTTTGCACCCACCTGATAGCCGACACATGGACTTTGTCATGGAAGTGGCATGTGCAGTGGGGCTCTCCCAGACTGCCCTATATAGATGCCAGTTAGTGTCCCAGCTGCTCTACTTGCCATCCAGCTCCCTGCTTGTTACCTAGGGAAGCAGTAGAGGACGGCCTAAAGCCGTGGGATCCTGCGCCTGCATGGGAGACCTGGAAGAAGCTCCTGGCTCCTGGCTTTGGACTAGCTCAGTTCTAGTTGTGGCCACCTAGAGAGTGAATCAGCAGATGGAAGATTTTTCTTTCTGTCTTCTCTCTGTGGATCTCATTTCCCTGTCCCTGTACCAACTTCAATGATTAGATTGATTGTTTCTTTGCTTCCCTCACTAAAATGCAGGTTCTGTGACTTCTTGTCGTCCCACTTAAAAGTCCTGTTCTGGACGCAGAATCAGGCTCACTGTCCAGGATCTCAGAACAGTATACAGTTTCGGGGTTTTTTTAATTTTCTTAAATTTAGTATTAATTTTAAAATTTGCAGAACATTTGGTAAGTTTAAAAACTCAATGCAAAGTTTACTGAGAAGTTTCTGCCAGCTCCCTGCTCCTTTGCCCTGTTCCTGTTCACTTCCTGTAAGTAATGGTGTTTATTAGTCCCTGGGTTGTCTTGCCTATGTGTCCTTCTGAACAAAACACAAACATATATCACAAAATAATTACAAAGAAATAGTCTTACTAGGTGAAAATGGCCCTCACTTGGTAACAGGTCTCTCTCATGGCCAAGAATATTACATTATAATAAATTCAGCCAGCAAAAATAAACGAGCATTTCTCATTTCAAATGATACTGCGTACTTGAGAAGAGATGGAGAAACAATTATTTAGTCCTTTCTGTAGAGCTGTTCCTGAACTCCCCCTGGAGAGCTGGAGACCGCGCTGCAGCAGCTTAGCTGCTCCACACACACCCATATCCCATATCAGAGTGCTGTCTGCCTCACATCTGTCCCTACTGCCTCCTCTTTCAGTCCAGCTTCCTGCTGACGTAGCTGGGAGGCTGCATATGATTACGGCCCAAGTCCTTGGGCCTCTGCTGCCCATACAGCACGATCAGATAAGAGCTCTTGGCTTCTGACTTTGGCTGTGCCTACCCCTGACTGGAGCAGCCACTGTATCCTATCTGTAAAGATGGGATGCCATTGGCTGTAATAAGCCTAGCTATGAAATTGAGTTCATCAGTCATGTGTTACCCTGGGATATTTCATCACTTATGCTTTCTCCATCATTGGATTATAAGGGTACCTAGTGGTGGTTCCTTCCAGCACTGAGGTGATGGGAACCCACACATCATCACCAGGGATCTCATCCTGTGACACATTGTAAGATATGGATCTAGTTTTCTCTTTTACCAAAGAGAATGCCAGCACTTCATAATACTAAATTACTTAATATTCTCAGTAATGTGTTAAAAAGGTCTTCTAATAACTTTCCTCTTTTCTGTGTGTAAATTCTCTTCTTTTTTATTCCAGGAAGTCAATGAAAATTCTCTTAAGAGATTAAGTGCCTACTTGGAAAACCTCCAGAAACCAGGCTTCAAGTCCTTGAAACCCACCCAGCTTACGTTTTATATAAGAGAAACAGACCAGAATCTCTCCGAGGGCCAGGAGCCCCTTAGTACTTCTGGTATGTGGTTCTACTCCCTGTGTGTCCCTTGAAAGTTTTGTGTTAAATGTACTTATTAATTTGGACACTGCTTGAGTATCTTTGGGTTGAAGCTTTGGGCAAAGAAAAAGTACATCAGTTAGTTGATAGTTTGGCCAAAGTTAGATGCTATTGCAGGCTCTGTGTTTAAACTTTTTTCTTTGAAAAACTGAAGTGTTCTTATATAAATGTAAGGGATCTGTCGCCCCGTGGATCACCAGGGTAAATAACCATTAATGGTGTGAGCCACTAGAGCCTCAGGAGTCGCTGAGACACGTTATTTGCTGGCTTAAGCCCAGGCTCCTGGAGATGCAGGCTCCTGCACACAGCGGCAGGGTTAGGAGTTAAGGACTTGTTCTTAGCCATTAGGATCTAAGTTTCCAGGTTTGATTGGTACACGACCAAAAGAAATTGATGTTTTTGTTTCTTTAACATTGTATTACTTATAAAATGTTTTGTAGTTTTTGTCTTCAACATTAATGCTCAGCCTTTCACTGATAATCAGGAAGGCAGTAAAATAGTTGCTCGTGATTATTTCAAATATTGATTTTTTTTAAAAGCTAAAGAAATCTAAAGAGAGAGAGATTTCCCACAAACTGCTCTTCAAATGCCTGCGACAGTCGGGCCAGGCTGAAGAGCCGAGAGTTCAACCCAGGTCTCCCTTTGGGGTAAGCACCAGGACTCTCCCCAGGTGTGCATTAGCAGGGAGCCAGGATGGAGAGTGGTCCCCGGGGGTCAGACCCAGCCCCCTCTCTGAGGATGGAGAGTGGTCCCTCTCCCCAAGGATGGAGAGTGGTCCCAGGGCTCAAACCCAGGCCCTCTCCCCAAGGAAGCAGACATCCCAAGCCACAGCCCAACCACCATCACGTGCCTTCCCCGGACTTTTTATTACCAGAATATGATGAGCAACATCTTTGGACTATTTATATTCAAGGCATAAGCTGTTAGCTCCACATCTTTTGGGTGATCCATAGAAAATAAGCCTTATTTTTAGAATATATTTTAAAACAAGGATTTACTAAGCATTCTTTGTGAATTAATAGTAAAAGAAATAGCTATAGCAAGCTCTGGCTAAATAAAGACAAATATCTTCTCATTTTAGTTGGTAATTAGTTTTTAAATCACTTACAAAGTAAAAACAGGTCACAGAAAAAAATGAAATTAGAAGGACCAACACCAGCATCATGGTATAGTAGAGTAAGCCTCTGTCTTCAGCACCAGCATCCTATATGGACACTGGTTGAAATCCAATTGCCCCGCTTCCAGTCCAGATCCCTGCTAACATGCTTCGGGAGGCAGCAGAGGACAGCCCATGTTCTTGGCCCTCTGTACTCACGTGGAAGACCTGGGAGAAGTTCCAGACTACTGGCTTTGGACCCAGCCAGCTGTGACCATTGCAGCCATTTGAGCAGTGAGCCAGCACATAGAAGATCTCTCTCTTTCTCTCTGTAACGTTACCATCCAAATAAAAATTTTAAAAATAAATTTTTAAATGAAATTACAAATAACAGGAAACATGCAACATGTATGACATGAAGATAATGTTAACATATGATAAGTTCTTAAAAACGAAAAAGAAAGTATAATCTCTGTTAGATGAAAATGAATAAGGGCAAAGAGCAGAAGCCAGAAAATAAGTAGCTACCAAGTGTGTTAGCCTCAGTATTACAACGCAAACTGGAATAATCAGGTACTTTTTTTCACGAGTTGATTTTTTTGAATTGATAATACATGTAGTGAGAGTGTATTTTTATTTGTTGTTGGTGCGGGTGTAAATTCTGTTAAACTTTCTAGAATGCAGTTAAAAGTTATCTCTGGTATTCCACAGAATTCCTCCTTTCCGAAGGTCTCTTAAGATTACGTGCAGGCAGCACGTATATATCCCGGTAGCTCAGACCCCTGCAGCGCACAGCTGAGCACCTGAGTTCAGCGCCTGGTTCCAGCTCCTGACTGCAGCTCCCTGCTGGGGCAGTCCCTGGGAGGCAGGAATGATGGCTCAGGGAACTGAGTTCTTTGCCACCTCTGTGGGAGACCTGAATTCCTACTTCTAGGCTCAGCCTGTACCCAGCAGTGGCCATTGCAGGCATTTGAAGTGAATCACAGATGGGAGCTCTCTCTCTCATCTTTAAAAAAAAAATTATATGTGTGTGTGTATATATATATAATTATTATATTATTATATAATCATATTATGTAATTATATATTTTATATATATATATTAGTTTAAGAATGAGGACATCCTTCAGTGTAGAGCCACATTCATATTACATTAATGGTTTCAATAAACTAAGCGGGGGCAGTGTTGTCACACAGCAGATTTAAACCATTGTTTACAATGTCAGCATCCACACTGGTGTGCTGGGTTGAGTCCTTTCCAGGAAGACAATAGAAAATGGCCCAGGTTCTTGCGGCCCTGTCATGCATGTTACATACACAGATGGCCCAGGTTCTTGGGGCCCTGTCATGCATGTTACACACACAGATGGCCCAGGTTCTTGCGGCCCTGTCATGCATGTTACACACAGATGGAATTTCTGGCTCCAGAATTTAGCTTGGCCCAGTCCTGGTTTTGGTGGCCACTTGGAAAGTGGACCAATAGAAGATTTCTTTCTTTCCCCTTCCCTTCCTTTCTGCCTCCCTCTTGCTCTTATTTTCTGTCCAGTAAATACATCTTTTTAAAAAATCACTTAAGTCTTTTTTGAAAACAAAATGGGATTTAAATTATACTACCATCAAAGACAAAAAAAAAAAAATCTCACCCTTGTGTGGGATGAGGAAAACCTGAAAATAGCTTATATGCCCAACACCATTGAAAATGTTGAATAAATAATACTATAGTTGTCACATGGACTAGACAATAGCTGCTAAAAACAATAAGGTGAATTTACCCGTCCAATGTTGAAAGTCACCAATATTGAGTTCCAAATAACTCATTCAAAATCTATACAAAATCGAGTTTAAAACAACCTGTTGAAACAGATCAGGTGTGTGACAGTGTGGATGTGCATGTATATAGTGCACATAGCATAGGTCCTCAGCAGTGCTGCCCAGGACAACTTAGCAGTGAAGATATATCCTCCGTCACTCCCATCCAGCACAGCAGGCACTAACCCCAGGGGGCTGTGCGCCACGTGACATGTGGCCAGGAAGTCCAAGGAACTGAAGCTGAGATTCTTTTTAATTTTAATAAATTCAATTTGAAATGGTCACTTATGTCTAGTCGCTACTGTTTTAGTGCAGGTCTGAAAACATATGTACCTGTTAATAGTGGTTGTATCTGGTAAAAGCTTAATGTTACAAGTAATGTATATACATATGTACATACTATATGTTACTATATGTCTCTAATTTGACAATAAGTATGTACTTACATAATGCTTATATACTTTTCAGAGCTAATTAGAATTACTTTTCAAAAAGAAAAAAAAAAGTCCATACTGTAGAGGAAAGAGATATTTGGTTTGATGTCAATTCTCACTGTTAGTGAGAATATTGCTTTAAAAAGATCTTGCCTAATACCACTTAAAGGGGGAAAAAATAAACCAGACCAGTGGGTTTCTTATCAGTGACTTCATTGAGATGATAAAATGTAACCCAACATCAAAATCAGATTGTGAAGCACTAAATTTCAAAAGGAATTTTTAAGCATTCTGAAGTGATTCCTGGATTGCTAGCTGGTTGGCGGGCCTCTGTGAGGAAGATCTCCTGTAATGAGAGGAAATTCAAGATGGGTGTCTGTGACCTCCGAGTCAGGTGGCGCAGCTGTCACATCTGACCTGTCACAGTCACTCCTCCGCCTCTCTCTCTGTGTGTGAGTACTTGAATGCTGTCTTCGCTGGACACTTGTTCCCGTCTCTCCGAGACCACCCTTATGGGCAGGACTGAAAATCCTCTGAATCCCCTCGAGCTGGGACGGGTTTGGGCCCTGACGCCAGACTGGGACAGGTTGATGACAAGGAAGAAATTAAGGAAGGTAGAAATCACACAGTATCATTTTAAAAAGAAAAGTAGTTCTCCACTGAATTTCAGTCAGTGATGGAATGTTCTGAATATTTTGATTTAATCAATGTATGAAAAATGTGTTTAAGGTAAGGTGAGTGATCATCTGTATTAATTGTTTGGGGGAATTATATTCTCTAGGATTTCGAGCAGTCAAATTTACTTTGCACACCAGAGATCTGCTAAGCACAGTATTGTATATTCTCAACTCCTGCAGTTTATCTGTTGAACATGTCCAAAGCTTGAACACTCATGTGCGCTCGCAGCCTCTCAAAGAAGCCAAGAGGACACCTGACAGGCCCATCAAGTGGGACAAGTCCTACTACTCCTTCACTGGATTCAAGGACCCTGAGCAAGACCTCGAGCAAGCCTCGAGAGTGGAAACAACCCTAACGTATGTGACAAAACAGGCTGTGTGGTCTTGTTTAAAACTAACGTCTGACTTTCCGCCATGTCTCTTATCTGCATAGCTAATCCAGTGACCTTTAGGGAAAAAATGGGTTCATGTCTGTTATTTAAAGTTGCCAGAATACTTCCAACCACCTTTTCTTGTTCAGTCATCTTCTACTACCAAAAAACAGACAAGAGAGATTATTTTAAGGTTTTAAAATGCTACTTTAAAAAATAAGTTTAAATTTTTTTACATGTTAGGGATTTCCCCTTTTTAGTGCAACTGTCCCTCAGTCATCCCCCTGCATTCTAGTTGCTGGAACTCAGGCATTCCTTGCCTCGTGCCCGGTAGGGCCCAGTCAGCACGGACAGCGTGGAGAGGTACAGGTCGTGGCATGTGTGACAGCCCGTCTGGGGTGCCATTCTGTGTGCACAGCTGACATGCACATCCCTGTCCTCACCCTGAGTCCAGGACTTAACTGTCCACTGTGAGCCAACACACCAACATGAAGACAGGTTTGGGAGCGTTTTCAAGAGACCAGAAATAATGAGCCGGTGTAAGAAATAAGAGTACAGGTGAACAATAATGACAATGGAATAGAAGTGGATAGCTTTAGGTTGTGGTTTAGGGAGGCAGAGATGCCTGAGCGTCAGCTGTGTGGAGGCTGCAGCAGGCACTGAGCTAGTCTGGTGAGCATAATCTGAGCACGGTGCTGAGCCTCACACCTGCTGGAACCCAGCATCACTTATGGTATTCCAGCCCCTGGGCCTGGGAGCACATGGCCTGGAGGTTACAGACAGAAAGTCCAGGCAGAAAAGAAAAAAGGAAAGTTGTCAGACCTTTGTTCAAGCTTAGGGGCTTAAGAATCAAGCCTTTAAGAGCCAAGAATCCTCTAGCCTGTGGCTCAGCGGAACAGTCCAGAAGTCACAGTTTGGGTCTGGAGCTGGTGCAGCTGAGGTGCAAAGTTTGTTCTGTGGACCCAGAAGTAAGAGCTGGCCGCTGGCAAAGTCACAGACGGTAGGAGAGGCCAGTTCAGCAAAGCTAAGTGCTGTCCAGCCAGGTCCCTTCTCTCAGCTAAGTATTTGTGATTTATTTATTTGTATGTGAATTATTTATTTGTAGTGATTTGTAGTGAATTCCCAGGTCTTTAATAAGACTTTCTTGCACTTTATTACACTATACTAGAGTTCTGATGAATAATCATCCTGTTGGTTAGTCTCCCTCCTAGATTCATTATTGACCTGAATTAAAGACCCGTGGGATGAGCGTGAATGTAACCCACTGCAGGCTCAGTTAGAACAGGCTTTACTCTGGAAGTGGGAAGTAGCTTAATACAGGTGCGGGCAGTAAGCATGACTCAGCACTGAACGTAGAAGCCAGTTTGTTCTTAGAATGCCTCTGTTCATTGCATTAGCATTTACTCAAAGATGTCGGCTGGCTTCAGCAAGGATGCATTTATCTCTTAAAAGAACTTTTCTGTTTAGCAGGGCTTTTTTTAGTCTTGATTTCTTGATTTACTTTAAGGTATGCTGCTTTAAATTTACATTCTCATGTGTGTGTGTGTGTGTGTGTATATATAATACATATATATTTATTTACTTTAAAGACAAAGTGATTGGAAAAGACAGGAGAGAGATCTTCCATCAGCTGGTTTACTCCCCAGATACAAAGTCGAGTCTAGGTTGAGCCAGGATTAAGCCACGAGCTGGGAATGGCAGCCAGATCTCCCACTTGGCGGCAGGAACCCCAGTACTTGGGCCATTACTGCCTTTCCAGGGGCAGGAGACTGACCTGGGAGCAGAGGCGCCGGGACCTGAAGCAGCACTGCAGTGTAGGACGCTGGCCTCCTTAGTAGCAGCTTCACCCTCCACACCCCTTCCCTCTCAAGCTCTCGTCTTGACAGGTACCAGGACAGGCTCAAAAAATGCTTGACTTTCCTCGCCGGCTTGGCCTCAGGCCTGCCTCACCATTCCATCTCAGACTCAGAGAGAATCCCCCCACAGCCAGAGTCACTTGGTGGTTCCATCCTGCCTGCTCCTGCAGTGGCTCATACGTCTTCAGGCCTGCAGCCAGGTCCCCAAGTTCTCCAGGCCTCCTGACAGTGGCCAGCACACCTCGAGTCATGGTGACCACAGCGCAGGTCAGGAGGTTTCCAGGGGCAGAGCTGCAGGCTAGGGGGCCGCATGGCTGCCTCTCGGCTCTTCCCCAAGAGCTGTTACTTCGCAATCCTTAAAGCTTCATTTTGTATTTATTTTCTCTAGTAAGGCTATTGAAACAAATATTTTGAGAAATGCAGTGTTAGCATCCTCCAGCAGAGTCTGTTACTCCGCAGTTGTTGACATAGGATCTGGTCATGTGGTTGGATGGGAAGGAATGAGTGTCCTGACAGGGTCTGACCGTGGGGGAGCTCGGGAAGCAAACATTACATACAAGAGTAAAACAAAGGGAGAGGCTGGAGTCTCCCCAGCCAGAATCCCACAAAATAATCTTTCTTGTCCCTTCACCAGCCGTGTTGCCCCTTCCTTGTCTCCAGTCCCCCAGGGGAATCTTTTAAGGTCGCCTTTTATACCTTGGCAGCTGGCACTTGCTGTATCGTTATCATGGGTTCTGACCTCCATGAACCTACTGAGAGTGGCAGCAAACATGAAAGGGCTTGAAGGCTCTATCCGTTGTCTTAAATTAGCCCATCTCTGAAAAGCTAATGACAGTGGTGGTGTTACTCAGTATGGGGAGGAAGTTGAGGTTAGGGCTAGGGTTAGGGGTTAGGGGTTAGGATTAGGGTGGGATTGGACTGGGGCTGGCTGTTGTCCCAGCAGCCAGTTGCGGGGTGTTTGTCTAGAAGGGCAGACGGGCCCAGCAGCTTATGATTGAAACCACGACACTAGGGATGCTTGAACACACTGCCTGTAGAAATGTTTACACTGTCACTGGTCTTTGCATAGTGTCCATCTCCATTTTTCCTTTCCAGGTCCTGGTTAGATAACAATGGCAAATACGCGGTTAAAAAGCTGAAGAAAAGTTTGCCTCTAAGGAAAGAACTGGATCGTCTCAAAGAGGAACTCTCTCACCAGTTACAACTCTCTGATATCAGGTACTGTGGCAGAGGGCGCTGAACTTACAGACCAAAAGATATCTCTTTATCTCTTATGATAACTAAATATTCTCTTCTCTTTCATGGATATAATCCAGCGTTCCTCTAAGTAAAAAATCAAAAACAAAAAAAAAAACCTTATTAACTCCTTATTTAACAATTTGGAAATTAGAGCTGGTATTATAGCACAGTGGGTTAAACTGCCACCTGGAACGCTAGCATCCCCTCTGGGCTTTGGTTTGAGCCCGGCTGCTCCACTTCTAGTCCGGCTCCCTGCTAGAGCACCTGGGCGAGCAGCGGAAGACGGCCCGCATGCTTGGGCCTCTGCACCTGCATGAACACCTAGAATAAACTCTGCTCCTGCTTCAGACGAGCCCAGCTCTGGCCACTGCAGCCATCTGAGGAGTGAACCAGCAGATGAAGATTTCTGTCTCTCCTCACTCTGTAAAATCTGCCTTTCAAATAAAAATAAATAAGTCTTTAAAAAATTCCAAAAATTGTAGTGTAGTTTCTCAGTTGTGGTTTAATGGAAGTTTTTTTTTTTTTTTTTTTTGTTAAGAAATGGTTTTCTTTTGATCTAGATATGGGCCTTTGAAGCACGGTTGGGAGGACACAGTGCAGAGAACCTGTTAGGGTGCCTCGTTCTGTCATACATGTCAGCTCATTAGCTGTACCCTGCCGGGAAGCAACAAGAGTACAGGGGTAACAGTGGCAGCCTGTTCCCCGCCATGGAGCCAGGATATTGCAGAGTCAGAACTCAGACGTGGGCTTCTGGATGCCACTCGGGACTGGGGAGTGCGTTCCACAGTGGTGCTCTGCGATGTCACAGCAGTGCTCTGCGACGTCACAGCAGGGTCAGCTTGCAGTCTTTCACCAGGATTAACTGTTGGCATGTAACACGGGCAGATGACATGTTGGCAAAAAGACTCAAATGCTCTTTTGTGAACTCTTTTTTTTTAAGATTTGTTTATTCTAACTGTAAAGGCAGATTTGCAGAGAAGAAAGACAGAAAAAGATCTTCCATCCACTGGTTCACTCCCCAAGTGGTTGCAGTAGCCAGAGCTGAGCCGACCCACAACCAGGAACCAGGAGCTTCTTCCTGGTCTCCCATGTGAGTTCAGGGTCCCGAGCACTTGAACCATTCTCCGGTGATTTCCAAGACCATATAAGCAGGGAGCTAGATGGGAAATAGAGCAGCAAGGACACAGACTGGCACCCATATGGGATGCTGCACTACAAAGTGGGGGATTAGCCAGTTGAGCCATTGTGCCAGCCCAAGAACTGGACACTTCTAACTAGAATGCCAAACTGGAAAACAAATCTGAAACAAAGTGTCCTCAGTATCCATTGTGAAGGAGAAAAAGATGTTTTCAAAGTTTTTCCCATTTCATCTTCAATTGTTAAAAAATATATATTCCATTGTATTTAAAAGATAGAAAAACAGGAAGAAATAGAAGAGAGTTTGTCTACTCACTGGTTCACTCTCCAAATGCCTGAAAAAGCCAGGGTCAGTCCTCCCCCTCCTCCTATTAAAATAGAAACAACAATTTAAAAAATAGATAATAGTGTGTTTCTTCTTATTTTAAATCTTTGTATTTTTAAATGTAATATATAAGGCATCTTCAGAAATTGCATGAAAAATGTGTATCATGAGAAAATTATGCATGGGTTTAAAAAAAAACTATGCATGGGTTTTACCAAAGTAAATTTTTCATTCCATTTTTCTTCAAACATTTTGAAGTTGCCCTGTATATAATTTCACCCTCTAGTGAACAGTTCATTTCCACTGGGTCGTGTTTCTGTTTTCGTAAAGTTGGCTGGTGTGGAACCTAAACTGTGTTAACACAGGCTGTGTACAGCTTGACAAAGGAGCACCATGGCTGCCTAGAGCCAGGCAGGTGGGGTGGGCCTGCAGGGTGCCAGTCATGGTCACTGACAAGCTCTGTGCTCTGTTGGCCCAGGTGGCAGAGGAGCTGGGGCATTGCCCACCGCTGTGGCCAACTGCACAGTCTGGGCCGCCTGGCACAGCAGAATTTGGAAACACTCAAAAAAGCAAAAGGTAAGTGTTTTGCACTTTTCTTTGACAGTATCACTTGGCTGCTGTGTAACCTGTAGTGGAAAAGCAGGTGAAGAGCTGGGTGGAACAGTGTTCCTTTAAGTAATGCCACAGCACCAGACTCCCACTGGCCCTAACCCTGAGTTGATCCACTGAGTGTAACTGCACAGTGCTAGAGGGTGAAGCGCCTTTGCACACGACCAAAGGGCTTGTGTTTCGTCGCCAGGCTGCACCGTCGTATTCACTGACCGCTCCGGCATGAGCGCAGTGGGCCACGTGATGCTAGGAACCATGGATGTCCACCACCACTGGACGAAGGTGAGCCAGCAGGCGGGACTTCCCTCCTTTACTGCCCTGTGCTTGCATTTCCGAGTGCTGCTATGAACAGTGAACTAAAAGTTAAATTATGGCTTCCACTGTTTTCACATAAGATGCTTAAGTGAAAATAGTTAAAAGATTGAATTTTTTAAGATTTTTTTTTTTTAATTTAACAGGCCCTGTGTGATGATTCGGTAGCTAAATCTTCCCTTTCATTCACCAGGATCCCATATTGGTCCCGATCCATATGCTGGCTGCTCCATTTCCCATCCAGCTCCCTGCTTGTGGCCTGGGAAAGCAGCTGAGAATGGCCCAAAGCCTTAGGAGCCTGCACCATGTGGGAGACCCAGAAGACACTCCTGGCTTCAGATCGGCTCAGCCCTGGCTGTTGCAGCCACTTGGGCAGTGAACCAGCAGATGGAAGATCTTTCTGTCTCTCCTTCTCCCTGTGAATTTGCCTTCCCAGTAATACTTAAAGATTTAAAGATTTATTTAAAGATTTATTTTTGTTTATTGGAAAGGCAGAGTGATATGGCGAGATGGGAAGAGAAAATCTTCCAACCTCTAATTCACTCTCCCATTACTTACAATGGTTGGGTTGGGGCTAGCGCTGAGCCAGGATAAAACACCTGGAGTCGAAAAACTCCACCCAGTCTCCATGTGAGCAGCAGGAGCCCAGGCTCTTAGGCCATCCTCCACTGCCTTCCCGCATGTGCAGGGACCTGGCTCGGAAGTCCAACAGCTGGCACTCCCGTGTTCCCTAGCCAGGAATGCATGTGGCTGCTTGACCCACTCCACCAGAAGTCCAGGCCAAGAAGAATGGTTTTTAAGGCTGTTTCCCTCTGGTCATGTTACAGTCTTTTCTGAAGCACAGCCTGCATTCTGCTGTGTTATATTATTTGTTTCTAACAATTTATTGAGAAATAGATGACATTAGTGTGTATCATGTTGATAAGTGTTACTGCATCAATACAAGTACTTCAGAATGTTCTGGGAAAGTGGTGTTAAAAGACGAGTCTATTTTGATGCAGAAGCTTCTTCATAATATGCATGTTTTTGAATTTTTTGAAAACCCCTTGTCTATACAGATTTCAATATTTGTGCCAAACTCCAATAGTCTCAGAAAACTCCACATGCACTTGCCATGTGGCCCAGCAATAAGAAGATGAAAATCAGGTTCTCTCTAAAGGATTATGCGTATCTAGTTCATAAATATGTATTGTAACAGCCCAAAACTAGAAGACAGGCCTCATGTCCTTCCCTGTGGAACTGGTTCACCAGCAGCGCATTCACACTGCAGCAGCCTCCCGAGCAGCGAGGACAGCGTGGACGGATGTCGTAGGCTTCGCTCTGCGTAACCAGAGCCAGCCTCATAGCACGCCCGCCGTGTGACTGCATTCACAGAACAGCTGGAACGCACCACAGTGTAGGAAGCGGGCACACACGGAGGCTGCCGAGGGTTGAGGACCAGGAGCAGAGCTGCACGTGGCTCTGCGCAGGCAGCAAGGGAACTGTGATGGGACACCTCCTGTCCTGCAGGTCGCCATGTGTGATAAAGTAGCAAAGTGTTAAATACACACCCCAGGAGTGCAGGCTGATGAGACCTGAGTGTACCAACCCCAACTTCCTGATTGTGACACAGCACTGTAGCTTTTGCAAGATGTTACTGTTGCGGAAACTGGGAGAGAGGAGTGTGAATCTGCAGTTAGCTCCAGATAAAAAGATGTTGAAATATGGTCACCCGATATACATAAGCAGTCCTCGCAAGAAAAAAATGGGGGGTAAAACTTTTTTTTTTTGGCCAGATATTAGGAATAGATTGTAAACAACCTATGTAGCTCGTCGTGTTACTGTTGCTTTTATTTTAGCAGAGTGTTTGCTCCACTTAAGGTTGTGCAGACCCCAGCATTGCATGGAAAAGCTCAGCCCCTACCTGCCCTAATGGACGCCCTTGCTTCTCTCTGCACCTACACCGCATGCAGGCTACACGCAGCCACGCCCAGCTGCTGGCCTCCCTTGCAGGCTATGCTCCTTTTATCTCCCCACCAACATCCCACCTGCATCCACCTGCATATGCCTACCCCTGTCTGCCTTGTAAAGATGGGTCCAACCTAGTGCCATCAGAACCCTCAGGGGAACACCCTTTCTGGGTCCACCATCCCCAATAGACATTTTGTGCTCTGGATTCAGGGCCACCTGAAACACAGGGACAGATTCGTCGTCTGTAACTCTACTGCCCAGTTCATTAGTCACAGTGGCTTATGTTAGATATCACTGTTTCCAGCATTACATTAAATCTTTTTTCTTTAACTTGAACTTTCTTCCTAGCAAAATGATTTTTTTTATTGTTGTTAAAAATTCTCAATATCATTTGTTGGCATGCTAAAATCAAATTACCCGCATAACATCGCACTTGGTATTTCTTTCCTTCTTTTTAACTTCACAGCTCTTTGAAAGACTGCCAAGCTATTTTGACCTTCAGAGGCGGCTGATGCTTCTAGAAGACCAAATAAGCTACCTTTTAGGTGGCATTCAAGTCGTCTGCACTGAAGAGCTTCAGCCGGTGCTGACACTGGAGGAATACTACTCCGTTCTCGACGTGTTCTATAACAGATTACTGAAAAGCAGAGTTCCCTTCCACCCGCGCAGCCTCCGAGGGCTGCAGATGATCCTCAGCAGGTGAGCGGTGTGGCTGCCTTCCTCTAGGGCATGGAGTGTGCGTGGGCGCGAGCTCACTCCACACGTCCCAGTGTGGCTCATAGAAACCACAGGAAGGAATGTCCCGGCCTGCGTCAGCGTGTGAGGAAAAATGCCAGCACGGAAAGCTAAAGGGCTGAACCTCAGCACACGCTCTGGAGAGACTGCCATTCACTGGGCCAAGTCGGCCCGTGAAATGCTGACATTAAATACACAGCCAGCATGCTGTTTGCCAGGCACCATGCGGGCCGCCTCGGGCCCTCCCGTCTGCGGGCTTGGCTCGCACGGCCTCCGCAGGAAGGAGCCTGGAGCCTGCTACCCGCAACGGGAGGCTCACGGCCGGGCAGCAGTCGTGCTGAGGCAACGTTGCTGTGCCTCTCAGGGGAATGCTCACGTGTGTTTCATTTCAGTGACAGATATGCTCCAAGCCTGCATGAACTTGGACATTTTAACATCCCGATACTCTGCGACCCAGCCAATCTCCAGTGGTTCATCCTCACCAAAGCCCAGCAGGCAAGAGAGAACATGAAAAGAAAGGAAGAGTAAGTACTGCGGGCCCTCTGGGAAGTCAGTGTTGAGCCGAGCTTTTCAGGACTCACAAGCATGGGACTTGAACTCTGTGTTAGGGCGGGCTGGGGGCCTAGCCCTTCAGGCACCAGGAGGGACACCCAGCTCCAAACAGGAATTTCTGAGTTCAAGTCTCACTTCTGCTGCCAATTTGATCTCTCTGCTAATGCTTGCCCTAGGGGTGGGGGGTCATCTGGTAATAGCTCAAGTAGTTGGGTCCCTGCCCCCCATTAGGGGCCCACATGGCGCTCACAGCCCTGGCTGTTGTGGCCATCTAGGCACAAGGGGGGGAAGTTACTTCTTTCTTTCTCTACCTTTCAAATAAATATCTTAGTTTTTTTTATTATTTTTTATAAAGTTGGGAAACTAATTTGTACATATTCTGTATTTATTTATTCCCCACCTAGAAAAAAACTTGATGTGGCTATTTTTTAAGTCTAAGTTTTACCAAACTAAATTGTATCTCTGCCATCTACCTCCATTTGAGAAGTAGGATTTGTTCATAACAAAATTCAAACCCAGGAATAGAATGAAAATGAAATACCAGAAAGAAATCCTCTGGGTGAAAAACAGTAGCAACAACAACAAAAATCAGTTAGTACTTGATGAATAATAATCTATCATGTAATGTTTTACACCCATGATTAAGAAAAACTTCCATCTGGGCTTTAATTAAATGGAGAAGAAATCTTAAAGCACGACACTGTCTCTGGCACTTTGCTGTTTGCATCGTCGAGGCAGTCACGGCCATCCGCAGTGCCCCGTGCGGGCCATGGGATGCTGCGTGTGCACCTGCTACAGAGAAGGGGCCACGTCAGTGTCAAAGCACTGTCGCTCACTCGCTCTCTTTTTTTTTTTTTTAAGATTTATTTTTAGGGCCCGGCACGATGGCGCAGTGGTTGGGGTCCTCGCCTTGCACACCCGGGATCCCATATGGGCACCGGTTCTGGTCCCAGCGGCCCTGCTTCCCATCCAGCTCCCTGTCTGTGGCCCAGGAAGGCAGTGGAGGATGGCCCAAAGCTATGGGACCCTGCATCCGCGTGGGAGACCGGGAAGAGGCTCCTGGCTTTGGATCGGCATAGCATTGGCCGTTGTGCTCACTTGGGGAGTGAATCATCAGACAGAGGATCTTCCTCTCTGTCTCTCCTCTCTGTATATCTGCCTTTCAATAAAAATAAAATAAATCTTTAAAAAAAAAAAAGATTTATTTTTATTGGAAAGACAGATTCACAGACCGGACAGACAGAAGGATCTTCCATCTGCTGGCTCACTCCCCAATTGGCCACAGTGGCTGCAGCTGAGCCAGAAACCAGGCGCTTCTTTCTGGGTCTCCCACATGGGCATGGCATGAACCAGCGCCCATATGGGATCCTGGCTCACACAAAATGAGGATTTAGCCACTAGGCTATTGTGCCTTGACCAGGACTGTTGTTCTAAAGAAATTTCCCAAGGAGGCTTGCTCATCCCACACTGATTGTTTCATTTTTTAATAATCTGTCAGGCCCAACATGGTGGCCTAGTGGCTAAAATCCTCACCTTGCATGCACTGGGATCTCATATGAGTACCAGTACGTGTCCCAGCTACTCCAGTTCCCTTCTAGCTCCTTGCCTGTGGCTTGGGAAAGCACGGGAGGACACCCCAAAGCCGTGGGACCCTGCACTTTGCATAGGTGACCTGGAATAAGCTCCTAGCCGGCTCCTGGATTCAGATCGGCTCAGCTCTGGCCATTGCAGCCACTTGGGGAGTGAACCAGCAGAAAGAAAATATTTCAGTTTGTTTCTGCTTCTCTCTGCAAATCTAACTTTCTAAAAAAAATAAATAAATCTTTAAAAACAATAAAAAATTTTAAAAGAAGCTGTCATTTCCTGTGACTGAGGTGTGCCCAGGGCTGTGACAGGAGCCATTGGTAGAAAAGGGAAGGCCTGGTCCCTGACCTCTGACCCCTGGCCCCAGGGACATGTCTGCTAAAGCAGTGAGTGTCAGAGGGAGCCAGGCCACAGAGGTGGGTTGCACAGGAGTCAAGGGAAGGCTGTGGCTGGGGGGCTGGGACCGAGCTACGGACAGGACAAGAGGATCTGTGATGGCTGCCAGTAGGGATCTGGGGGAAGCAGTTTCCTGTCTCCGTGCCATTCCCCACTCACCCGTGGAGCTCACTCACTGGAGGGCCAGGGAGGGCAGGCTTTGGCCTAGTGGTCAAGATACCTGCAACCCACGTAAGTCTGCCTGAGCCTGAGCCTCAGCTCAGATCCTGACTCCAGCTTCCCACCTGGCTCCTGGCCCAGTCCCAGCCACCGTGAGTGAACCAGCAGATGGACGTCTGCCCAGGCCTGCTTGCTCTTCTCAGATTAGCGAAGGCAAGGCCAGGGATAGGAAACAGAGAGAGGAGGGAGGGTGATTAAGAACCAGGGAGACTGGCGGCACTGAAGGAACTGCATCGTTCTGTCCTGCCTGTGGAACAGGTGAACACTGCTGGCCAGTCTCACTGTATCCTACTTCCTGATTGGTTGCAGAGCATTTCAGTTTATACTACCAGTTTTCTTAAAAAAGACACTTGAAAAAGTTCACAGGAAAATAAAAAGTGAAGTTTGGATAGATACAAAAGATTTTGGGGGTTGGTGTCGTGGCACAGTGGAGTAAGCTGTCACAACTCCAGCATCCCCTCTTCTGCTTGCCGCTCTTCTGATCAGCTCCCTGCTCAAGCCCTGGGCATTGTGGCCAACTGTGGACTGAACCAGCAGATGGAACATCTCTCTAGCTCTGCCTTTTTTTTTTAAGATTTATTTATTTTTATTAGAAAGTCAGATATACAGAGAGGAGGAGAGACAGAGAGCAAGATCGTCCATCTGATGATTCACTCCCCAAGTGACTGCAACAGCTGGAGCTGAGCCAATCCGAAGCCAGGGGTCAGGAGCTCTTCTGGGTCTCCCATGCATGTGTGCAGGGTCCCAAAACTTTGGGCCCTTCTCTACTGCTTTCCCAGGCCACAAGCAGGGAGCTGGATGGGATTAGAACCTGCACCCATATGGGATCCCGGGCATGCAAGGCGAGTACCTTAACCACTACGCTATTTGGGGGTGTGGGAAGTGGACCATCAGACAGAAGATCTTCCTCTGCTTCTCCTCTTCTCTGTATATCTGCCTTTCCAATAAAAATAAATCTTTAAAAAAATACGTTTTTTTTAAATAACATTTTTTTTATAAAATTGGCAGTGCCCAAGGGCTTGGCTTGAGGTGGCACCTAGAATTCTGCTTGTTTCAGTCGCTGCCAGCTGCTAGTGAGGCAGGACAGGAGTTTGTGGAATTAGGTACTGATGACATTTGCCCATTACTGCTACAAAGATCGAACCACATGGAAACCCCTCCTGGGAAGCTGCGTGGCTGACTCAGCAGGTCTGCTGAGCCTCTCAGCCGGCCCAGTGAAGGCCACTGTTCTGCAGGGCTCTGTGTGGGGAGCTGCAGCCCCAGGACCTAAGATGACAGCGGTATCCCTGGCTGACAGCCGTGTGTGTGTTCTGACGTGACAGGCTGAAGAGCGCTGAACGTGAGCTGGTGGAGGCTTTGACCAGGAAGTTTGCCCTGGAGAAGGTGTACAAGGAGCCCAGCATCTCGAGCGCGCAGATGGTGGACTGCTGCAGGAGGCTGCTGCGCCAGTCGCTGCCTGGCCTGCACGGGATGCACCTGTGCGTCTCTCACTTCTACTCGGTCATGCAAGACGGAGACCTCTGTATCCCTTGGAACTGGAAGGACGGAGAAGCCATTGAGTAACACAGGAGGCTGTTTTGTTATTTTTTTTTTTAAGCCATAAGAAACTGTACCATCAAGCCTATTTAAATCCAGTTTGATACAGCAGTATTATTGACGTATTACAAAAATGAAGTTTCTAGCTGCTGCTTTGAAGATAGACCTTTTTTTTTAAATTAATTTCTGCTAAAAAAAAGCCTGTTTTGAAAAGATTTTATCTTGTAGTTTTATAAGGATTGACAAAACCTGTGTGAAAAGAGGGTAGGAGTGGAAGAGCATATTTTTAGAGATATGTAAATGAAGAGTCCTACAATAGTCTATTTTTATAAGTGAGGCTGGACGTGTGTGTGTGAGAGAGAGCGAGCATGGAAGAACGACTCTTACCCAGCTCTGAAGCAGGGGCCGCCTTCGCTGTGTGTGCGAGTCAGCACTCCCCTCTGGAGGCACATCTCAGCTGCAGGTGCACGCACGTGCTTCACGGCCAGCGGGGGGCAGCGCATGTCCAGAAACAGTGGTCCTAAGTTCCAAAACTCAGACAGCCGGATTCTGCCTCAGAGAAAAAGGAAAGCGGTCAGTGGAGTATCTGGTACCGACATTGCAGTGTGATGCCAGTGTGTTCAGTGACCTTGGGGGCTGGGACTGTAGTTTCCCAGGGCAGGCAGAGCCAAGGGTGCAGCGGTTGGCACTGGTCAGGGTTTATGTTACCCTCCCAGTCTTCCTGTCCCTCCCTCCATTTGAGGTCCCTCGTTGGCTACAGCCCCCTCACGTCTCCCCTCACCCCATCACTGGCTTGCGGTGTCCACAGCAGAGCTGTGAGGCCAGATGTCTGTCCAGGGTGACTCTACAGTTCCGGCCACATCCAAGTCGTTTCTCAAGGGGACAAGACGAAGCCCTGTGCAGGCTCTGGCTGCTCAAGCAGTCAGGGTGCTTTTCTTCCTCAGTGCATTAGAAAGTCAAGTTGATGAAGTCAGCCCTGAGGTGTGTTTTCATCTGAACTCCTGGCTGGTGAAGTCATTCGAGCCCACATGTGTGCTCAGACGTGTTGACTGATCCCAGTTTGTGCCTCGGCGTCCCCAGTCTGAAACGTCCCGGGATCCAAGGCTCCTGGGGCATCGACACGATGCCACAGTGGAAAACCCCTCAACATGAACTTTGTGTACAATTCCCTTCAGTCTGTGTGTGTGAAGGAGTATAAAAGGTGTATCTGAAACAAATGAATTCCATGTTTAGATACTGGCCCCATCCCCCAACGTAGTTCCAATCATCCAAAACCCTTCTGGGCCCAAGCATTTTGGACAAGGGAATATTCTGTCTGTACTTAAATTCTTAAAATTTGTTTTCTAGTGTAACAAACGTTGCCTGTAAAGACTTTTCCACAACTCAATAATGTGAAAAATTAAAAGGTTACATAAGTATCAGAAAATGAAATTTGATTTGTGCCATTGTTAAAATCAACTAAAGTAGATGTCTCTGAAATGTTTTGAATTGGGTTTTTGTCTCACAACTAATTGTTACATAATAAATAATTCCTGTATCCTCCAGCTAACTGTCCTGTCCTGGCGCCTGACTACTCCAGAGCCGCAGGAAGCTACATGTCGGGGTGACCTGCAGGTGCCTGTCCAGCCTCCCCCCCAGGGTGAACACGGAAAGGAAGTTTCTCCCCTGCCACCTCTCCTTGTTTCTACAAAGCCCCAGGGAGCACCAGAACCTGGCTAGGGCTCTCCCCACAGAGAGCCAGGCCCTGGGCTGCTAGGCACCAGCTGCCCAGCCAGGAAGGTGTGTGGCCAGAGCCTCATCCGTGCCCAGGACGCATCTGCCGGGGCCCTACTTTCTCCTTGCTCCTCCAGAGGCCTCTACCTCCTGAGAGGGTACTGGGTTTCGAGGAGTTGGCAGGGTAAGAGGGCCGATTCAGGAGTGGGTGCACAGCTCAGGCACGAGTCCCTGAAGCAAGTGGTTCTCCTCTCCCATGCTGAGTAGGCCCCTTTCACAGAGGCCTCTGCCTAGGCCCCTGTTACCCTGGAGGGAAGGTTCTGTCCAGGCCTCCCTGAGCATGTCCACTTGACCACAGCAGTCCCATGGAGACAACAGACCTGGTGCTCCACACTCCTGTGGGGCAAGTTGCAGTCCTGGCCCCTCCCAGCCACAGAGCAGGGTTCCAAAGCCTGGTTCCCCTTGCTGGTTTACTCCCCACATGACTGCAACATCCAGGGTTGGACCAGGCTGTGAAGCTAGCAACCATGTCTCACATGGGTGACAGGGGCCCAGGTTCTTGGGCCATCTTCTGCTTTGCCCGGCACCTTAGCAGCACCGGACTGGAAGCAGGGCAGCCAGGACTTGAACTGGATTCGATATTGCAGAAGGCAGCTTAACCTACTGACCTTCCATGCTGCCCCTCTCCCTGCCCCCAGCTTGGTTTTCATTCTGTCTTGCCAGCTGTGGGCATCATGCAAGTTCCCCTGGGACCCTGGCAGGGCACCCATTCTTGACTTGGTATTTCTGCACATCTGCCTACATCCCAATCTCAAAGGTTCCATCCTCCACTTGGCCTATTTGTTGGGTGGCTGCCTCTTGCTCTCCTGAGTAGCCAGCTGTGAACTCTCCTGGACACAGTGCTCTTTGGAGCCTGGCCTCTGGGTTTCAGAACACGGTAGTGTTGCAGGCCTTGTATGCCAGCTGATCCACCCTCCAGTTCCTGCCCTGCCAGAACCCTTCAGGTTTGTGCACCTGAGTGTGCAATGGTGAGCTTTGTCGGTAGAGGGCGAAGGAGGCACATGGCAGAAGGGGCTAGCCAATGCATCCTGGGCTCCCCACCTTCTGACCCACCCCACCCCAGCTTCCCTTCCTCCCCCCTCCTCCTTGGCCTACTAAGATCAGGCAGCCCTGGAACAAGTAGAAGTCCTTCCTGAATGGAGCCAAAGCTGCTCCTGGGACTGCAGGACAGCTCCTGGCAACCCAGTGGGCTTCCTCCAGGCACCTCAGGGCATGACCCGCAGACAGCCCAGCCCTCCCCCAGGCCTGCCCCAGACAGGCCACACACACACACACAGTGAAGTTGGTGGAGCGGTTGGCTGGCTTTCCAGACAGAAGACCCTGAGAGCTCAAAGTGACCGCTGTCTTACAATAGGCAATCGGCGCAACCTTGAAAGGAAATTTCTGCCCGGCTTTTATTATACCATTGGCAGCAGAAATGAATGTGCTGGGTGCCAAGGTAGAGCGCTGAGGCGTGCTGACTCAAAAGGACTTGGCTTGTTCACATGTTTGTCTGAGGCCCTTGCTGCCCTGGGACTTCCACTGATGTCACTAAACACTGGTCCCCATGCCACCCTGAACCCCGATCCCCGTTGAAGGCTGAGCTTCTATCTCTCTGAGAGTCTCTGACACCCTTGTTGGGACATTGGCAGGCTAACAGCCCATGTCAGTCAGGGTGTGTGCTGGGGAGAAGGGCCTACAGACTCAGCACCATTCCCTGCCCAGAGGTCCTGAGACCCCTCCCAGGCCTCTCTGCCTTCCAGCCTCACCTGTTCACCCTCATCTGAAGACCCTGGGTGTCCCGGAGCAGCTCAGGGCTGCTCACCAGCAATGGCACCAGGCAGACACCCTGCCAAGGTCCCAGGAACAGCGCACCTGTCCACCCATCGTTCCCTGAATCAGGAAGCCCCTCCCCTTAACCACACTCAGAAGCAGCCAGGCCCCGAGATCTGCTGGCCCCATCCCAGCATTTCACCCAGCCCATTCCCAGAACATGGCCACAGCCCAGGAGGTTAGGCCAGTCCGGTGGACAGGCCTCCTCCCTTGCACGCTGTGCACAGAGGAAAACTGAGGCCTAAGGAGAAGGGTCCTGCCTGGGTCACAGCACATGCTGGCCTGCACTTCCCCAGGTTCACAGGGTCCTCAACCCTGGCCAGCTTGCTGCAGAGCCCACCGGCTGCCCCATCACCTGTGGGCTGGCAGGAGGCAGGCAGAATTATCCAGAGAGCCGCAATCCTCCACGGGCTCACTTCCTGTGCTACTCCGGAAGCTCCAGTCAGGAAGGAGGGGAAGCCAAGCTTACCTTGGACCTCTGAGCTGCCACACCCAGACACAGGGCCTTGGACAAGAACCAGAAGAGAGCAGGTGGCTGCCTGTGTGGGATGACTCCAGCCAAGGGGGAAGGCAAGGGTGGGGATCCCCGCTTGAGTAGGCATGCATGAGCAGGAGGCACCAGGGCCTCCCCACTGCAGAACCCTCCTCTTTCCCGCCCCAAAGTCAGCTTCCTCAATATGCATAGCAAGTCCAGTTCCAAGTGGCCCAATGCCAGGGCAGGGGCGAGGCACCCCAGGGCTAAGGTGACAGCAGGGACGGCATGGGTACAGCTAAGCTCCCTGTAGTGTTCCTGACACACTGAGCACCCCACCGCCCAGCAGACAATCCGAGTGGGAGTCACGGAGTCTGTGCAGGGATGCCAGTGGCTTCTCCACTAGCTCCTCCCCAAAGCAACCGCTCCGGGTGTCCAGGCCAAGTCACAGCTGCCCTCCTCCCGCCACCCACTCCTGTTCCCCAGGGCTTCCCACAGTCCTGGGTCAGCCTGCCAAAGGGGCTAGGGTGGAGGGGAACAGCAAAGCTGTCATGAGTGTCGCTTCCCACTGCCTGCCACTCCATTTCTGGGGGGCTGAGAGAAGCAGCCAGGGGCAGAGCACAAGTTGCCCATTTTTCTCATCCGAGCCTGTTCCACCAGCAGCTCAGGGAGAGCACAGAGCTGGGGACGAGGGTCACTTTGCCCAAAAGGCCATGTCTGACCCCCTCCAGCTTTGGCTGCACCCCCTCACTGCCCTGAGCCTCAGGGATGCTGGGCCTGTGGGTTCCCCTCTGCCTTCTTCTCCCCACTCACTGCAGTCTCCTTTGCCTTGGCTGGGACATCAGCGTCAGAACTAGGGCTTACTGAATTCCACAGAGCTAATGCTGAAAACCAAAGACAGCTTCTCCTGGGCGGCAAAGGAAGTTCTAGAAAGATGGTTGTTTTAATCTAGGCAAGATTTATATCGGTGTTGCAAGCATTTGGCAAGGTCTTCCGCAAAGCATAAATGTGGCTGGGGGTCAGTGTGGCTGCTCCAGCCCTGATGGCTCAGAAGGGCACCTAAGGACACAGCCACCCGAGTACCTCCCAGACCTCAAAAAGAAAATGGGTCATTTCTGTTAGCATTTTTCACCTCGCAGGTGAAGGCCCAGGGGGCAGAAGGATGGGGAGAAGAGGTGGCCTGATGGCCCAGGCACAGAGGGCTGAGTGTTGGCGGAGCGCCCTCTGGTGGTGGCATGGTGATAGCGAACTCTGGGTACCGCGAGGTGCTCCTGGCCCCAGGGGTGGCCTGGCCCTGGGTGGGTGCCCAGGGTGAGGGGTATCTTGAGCTCTTGTCTTTCAGTGAGGCCTTGGGAGAAGGCACAGGGGTAGGCCTCTGCGCAGGAGTGGCGGGTGGGCGCTGGGGAAGGGGAGGAGTCCCCTGCATGTCCTCATGCTGAGGGCGGGACTCCTCAGGCACGCCTTCCATGGGGGCCTCCCATGGGCAGTAGGTGATTTCTCCAGTTATCTCGTTTTCCCAGAAAATCGTATCTAGAGGCTTCTTCCCCGGTGCCAACTGACTTCCGGACATCTCTGAGAAGGAGAAAAGCAAGTCAACAGGCCTATCCTGCAGGCTCCCTCCCATGGGGCAGGGTCTTGAAGGTCAGTCCACACAGTATCACCAACCCCCTTCTCCCCCGCCCCCAGCACTAATCTTTGGAACCTGGAAACACACAGACGTGTCTGGCCACAGAGACGTTGTGCGATCTACGGCCCTTAAACGAGGGGTGTCATCCTGGGGGTCCGGGTCTCGCTGTCCGGTCACTTGAGTTTTTCTCAGACAGGGACCAGGGAAGATGCTGCGGGGGAGAAGTGAGGTTCAATGTGTGAGAAGAACTGTCCCGCCAGCACTGCCTTGATGTTGGAAGTGGCTGAGGAAGAGCCAAGAGAAAGAAATCCTCGGGTGGCTGTCAGCTTGAGTGGCAAGAAAGCCAGCGTCTTTTGGGACCCGAGTTGTGCACAACGGGTGAAGGTAAGCCAGCATCCCACGAGTGCTGCTCCTTCCTGCCCCAGCTGACTGTTCCCTAATGCGTCGGGAAGCAGACCAGAGGGCCCCTGCCGCTCATGTGGGAGATTGAGAGCTGGCCCAACCCAGTCAGTGGGTAAACCAGCAGGTGAAGGCTCCCTTCCCCTGCAACACACTCCCTCCTAAATAAAGGGATGGGAGGAGCAAACTCAACAGAGCGAGTGAGGTTCTCCAAAGGCCCCTGTAAAAACACTGAGTACTAACTTCCCAACTCTGAGGGGCACTGCTCCTAGCAGTGACATCTGTGGCTCTTAGGTGGCAACAGGACACATACATACCATGTGGGCACTGACCCACGTGGGTCAGCACAGAACAGGTGCTGCAAGTCTGGGCAACTCTGCCTCCAGCTTGCTCCCCTGCTTCACCCTCCTGAGAATGGACGCAGTGACGCTGCCCCTGAGGAAGGCCAAGGTCGGCCACATGAGACGCCAGACAGCAGGAGTCAGCATCCTGCGGGAGACTCTGGTTTGCTCTCTGGCTAGAGGCCGTTTCACCACCACCACACCCCACCCGGGTGTGTAAGGCGATGGGGATCCGCAAGGCCTTGGGGGGGGGGGGTGGTCAGCACAGCCTACAGGGATTCCCTACACCACAGCGGATGGAGTGCTGGCCAGGAACTATGGGGCTACACAGGTCTGAGCAGTTCAAAGCTCACCTTCTGGAAGCTTCTGGCTGGGGTGGAGGAGTCTGTGGAGAGTTCTGGAGGGCAAGAGGAGTGATGGAAGCCTTGAGGAGGCTCCTAGCAACCTGGGCATTGTTGTGTAAGGCCCCTCCCACCCTCCCCCAAAGGCTGGACTCCGCCTGGACAGGTCAGAACTCTCCAGAGCGGCAGCACATCTCCCTGCTTCAACACTCTAAGTCACAGTGCCCAAACCCACAACCCAGGGCCATTTCCGGCATCCCTGTGCCTTCCCTTCCCACTGGTATGGCCGCTGAAATAGCTCAACACCTAACACTGTTATCAGTTCCCATTCATGTATCTATAATCCTTTCTAGTAATTTTTTTTTTTTAATCTAGAATTGGATGTTGTGGTACACTGCTTGGGATTCTTGCATCTGTATCAGAGGTTGGAGGGTTGGGGTCCCTACTCATTCAGGCAAGGGTGATGATGGCTCGGGTCCAGAGGTCCCTGGCTCCCACACCTGCCTGCGGCAGCCAACTGGAGAGTGAACCAGCAAACTGAACGTGTGTCTCCGCATCCACCTACCTACTGCTATCCCTGTCTTCTCTCAGGACTGCTTTTTAAAATAAATACATCTTTTATATTTAAAAAAAGAGATGTATTTATTTTAATTGGAAAGGCAGATATACAGAGAGAAATAGAAAGATCTTCTATCCGCTGATTCACTCCCCAAGAAGCCACAATAGCTGCAGCTGAGCCAATCCAAAACCAGGAGCCAGGAGCCTCTTCCAGGTCTCCCACGCGGTGCAGGGTCCCAAGGCTTTGGGCCGTCCTCAACTGCTTTCCCAGGCCACAAGCAGAGCTGGATGGGAAGTGGTCATGTGGGACACGAACTGACACCCATATGAGATCCCGGCACATTCAATGAGAGGATTTAGCCACTAGGCTGTTGTGCCAAGCCCACAAATACAGGCATCTTAAAAAACCTTAAAAAAACAACTGGGCAGGGCAGACATTTGGCCCTGACACTGGTGAGGATGCTCACAGCCGACACCTGAGCTCTGGGTTCAAGTCCCGCTCCTACCTCCAGCCCGCTGCGGATGAAGCCTCTGGCGAGCAGCAGTGGGATGACTCATGCAGCTGGATCCCTGTCACTAACGGGAAGACCTGGATGGAGTTCCCAGCTCCTTAGTCGTTGCAGTCATTTCAGGAATACATAAAAGCTCTTTCTCATGAGGCCGGCATGGTGGTATAGCACGCAAATCCTCCACCTGTGGTGCTGGCATCTCTGGCCCTGGCTGCTCCATGTACACTGCAATGCCCTACTTACAACCTGGCTAAAGCAGCAGCAGATGGCCCGAGTCCTTAGGTCCCTACACCCATATGGGAGAGCCGGAAGAAGCTCCTGGCCCCTGGCTTTGGATTCTCCCAGCTCCAGCTGTTGCAGGGGAGTGAACATTAGATGGAAGATCTGTCTCTTTCTCTCACTGAAACTGCCTTTCAAATAATTTTTTTTTAAGTCCTCTGTTTCTATTTGCCTGTAGAATTTAAAATCTTAACAAGAAAGTAGGGGAAAAGGAATGGACACTTGGCTTAGTGTTTAAGACGCCGGTGAAGATGTCCGATTCTTGTTTCATAGTACCTGACTCTAGCTCCAGCTGCAGACTCTGGCTTCCTGCTTGAAGTGAACTCTGGGAGGTAAGAGGTGCTGGTTCAAGCAGCTGAGTCCCCCGCTGCAGGAGAGCTGCACTGAGTCCCTGGCTCCAGTGCAGGCCTGGTGGTTGTGGGCTTTTGGTCTTAGAGTCTAAAATCCAAAAAGATGAACATGTCAAAAATATAATCTAGGAAAAAGAAGTTTAAAAAATTTGTAAAGGCATTTAGTTGTATTTTTAAAGGGGATTTATTTGAGAAATGTCCAAAGAACAGGACGTTTCATAGGCTACTTTATACAATAAAATAAGTAATAATGACACACATTTTTCCAAGTATGACAATCACACAGGTACAACAATTATGAGCAAACAGCATCCATAAATATTCTGAGATCAAAATAGCTAAGGACGTGTTGCTGTGGTTGGTAGCTGTGCGAGCCCAGTCTTCCAAAGGATCCGAACTTGCCCTGAGTGGCCAGCCTCCAAGAGCCAGCGTCGTGAGAAACCTGTCCTTTCACAAACACAGATGCACAAACAGGAACATCTCTCTGTTTATTAGAGAAGAGCCAACACTTGCACACATATACACAGCGTTCCCATACAAATGGGCCTTGTAATAATCTACTTTCGCAGATTTGAAAAAAAAAAAAAAACATAAAACAAACAAATTCCCAGAAAGGCTTTATACAGTTTCCACCTCTAGGATCAGAAATAAGACAAAGATGAAATACATGAAATGGCCACTTGTAAAAAAGAAAAGAAAAACACTAGCAACTTAAAACACTGAGAAAAAAGATGGAAAATGGAATTAGTGAGTATATATGAAGACTGTTTAAAATAAACCTCAACATCCCTACATTAATTGCAACATATCTACATGCATGCATGTCTGTGTGTGTGTACAGATTTCGTATAAGGAGCTTTTCGTGTGATCACTGGATCCAGAAGTGCAGAGTAATGCCTGGCACGATGGCTCAGAGGTTAACGCCTCCCTTGCACGCTCTGGGATCCCATACGGGCAGCAGTTCACGTCACAGCAGCTCTCTGCTTATGGCCTGGGAAAGCAATGATTAGGGACCTGCATAAAATAGACCCAACAATATCATAGGGTGTCAGCCTGACTCAGTCCATCAACTTCAATGTTAACTTTACCCCAAAACACTTTTGTCTGAATCACTATTATGAGCTGAAAATTAGCTAAAACTGCAGGGCAGTCCATCTGAAAACCAGCTTGGTGGGAGGAGACTCTACAGAATTTACTATAAAATTCAAAATTTGAAATAAAAATTAAAAAAAAAATACAGCTCGGATCTTGTACAACGGCTCAGTGACTAAATCCTTCCCTTGCACGCATGTGGATCCCAGTGGGCACCAGTTTGTGTCCCAGCTGCTCCACTTCCCTTCCAGCTGCCTGCTTGTGGCCTGGGAAAGCAGTAGAAGATGGCCCAAAGCTATGGGACCCTGAACCGCGTGGGACACACAGAGGAAGCTCCTGGATCCTAATCAGCCCAATTCCAACCATCGCAGCCACTTGAGGAGTGAACCTGTGGATGGAAGGTCTTTGTCTCTGTATCTTTTCTATGTAAATTATATCTCTTCTCTGTAAATCTGCCCTTCAAATAAAAAGAAATGAGAAGGAGAGAGAGAGAAGGGGGAAGGGAAGAAGGAAAGAAGGAAGGGAGGGAGGGAGGGAGTGAGAGAAAGAAAAAGAAAACAGCTTAACAAGCTTCCAAAATGTAAAACATTTAGCATATGACCCGGAGAAAGTTGTGTGAAATTGTTCCTTGTAACCTCTTTAAAAATAGACCTATTTTATTTTATTTTTTGAAGCATCAACAGATCTTTTATTGCATTAATATAATAATGCGACAAACAATCCAGGGTCCTTACTTCAACAGCTGGACAACTTTAGATCTTACTCACCAACCTGCTCAACTTTCTTGTTCAGAGACAGAGATACCGTCCAAAACTTTCCTGATATTCTTAACTGTGGTTGCCTGTGAATCAAAGCAGCTGAATTTGAAACAAGTTTGATATCATTTCCTTCAAGGACTAACTCATCTTTTGGGGCTTGAGAGCCTGAAGAAGCGACACCTGGCCTCATCTGAACCCCTTGGATGTACTTCTCACCCAGGTTTCCACCAGTTACCACGTTGATGAGGAAGTGAGCATACACCGACCTCGTCTCATACCGGAAGCCCAGTGTAAGATCATAGTCTGGACATGACTACAGATGATGCGAGCAGCGGCCAGGTCCTTGTGATTTCCCCACCATTTGTCAATTTGGAGTCTCTTCTTTCGCAGGAGGCTGAGTTCCACACTGATGTGATTGAAGTCCCTTTGCAGGGCTCGTCTGGGCCCCTTCACAATCGCTGTGCGCCCCTTCAGACTGACGTCCACATTTTCTGGAAGATCGACAGTCTGGTCGCTGAGAATGGTCTTCATTCTCACAGCAGATGCAGCAAAAAAGACATAGAGCTATTTTAAAAAGGAAAGGGGGCAAATGGATTTTGGAAAACGTTGTTCACCCTGTCCAAGTCAGGCAAGCTTATTTCTTACTCTTCAGCAGGTTGTCTCACCTGAGTTGTTCCTTCCTGCACAATGGACAGAAGGATCACAGTCGCAGCAGGATGGGCCAGCCTGGAGTCCTGAGGGTGGAAAGGCGACTGAAGGGAAGCTGATGCAGATTCGGGGTAGAGTGCACAGCTGACGTGGCCTTGAGGTAGGGTGATGAAGTCACATTCTGCAAACACAAATTGCTCCTGGCGGTCCCCTCTAACAGGCATTGAGCGGGAAAAGCACTCACCAGCTCAGGGATCACAAATGTGCCAGACATCGTGTGCTCAGCACTAAGTGTGCGGTAAGTCACATGTCCTTCTCTGAGATTCACGTCTTCTCTCCAGACCAGGCAGGCCAGTCAGGAACATGGCTTCAGCTCTTTGGCAAAAGTGGAAATCTTAGCAGTCTGTACAAAAACAAAGCATTCCTTTGTTTTTTGGAAAATAACGAAGTCCACTGGTTTCCATGCAGGCTAACAGCTTTTTCAAGATTTTTTTTAATTTACTGGAAAGGCATATATATATATATATATATATAGAGAGAGAGAGAGAGAGAGAGAGAGAGAGAGAGATTGAGAGAAATATCTTCACTCAGCTGGTTCACTCTCCAAGTGGCCACTGAGCTCCACCCAAAGTCAAGAGCTAGGAACTTCTTCCAGGTCTTACATGCAGGTACAGGGTCCCAAGGCTTTGGGCCGTCCTCAACTGCTTTCCCAGGCCACAAGCAGGGAGCTGGATGAGAAGTAGAGCACCCAGGATATGAATCGGCACCCATGTGGGATCCCGGAAGATGTAAGGTGAGGATTTAACCACTAGGCTGTTGCACCAGGCCAAGCTAACAGCTTTTACCCCATAGGTAAAGAAACTAATATGAGACACATGACAGTTGCTGCATAACATTGTTTCAATTATGCCAGAACTGGGAGAATAGCTACAGAATGGATTCAGGAACCTGTTTGGCCTACTAAGATGGATGTTAAAACTCCATTAAAATACCCAACTTCCACAGGCACACACTCTGGGGAACCACAGCAGCATTTTGAGTCTTCTGTCATTAGACCCAGGGTCTAATCCCAGGAAATCCTGATTATTTGCTCTTCCCAATGCACTGTCATTGCTGTAATTAGCCTCTGATGCCTCTAGGGACAGTTATGAAGGTTAAACACAATACTCAGTCTAATCGAGTCTCGCCTCAAGAGACCTCACATATCCTTTATTGAAGAAGCCCTATGCTTTGCATGTTGACCCAACCAGCTGATCCTCCATCTCCAGTGCCAGCATCCCTAATGGGTGCTGGATTATATCCCGGTTGCTCCACTTGCCATCCAGCTCCCTGCTTATGGCTTGGGAGAGCAGTGCATACATAGTCCAATGCCTTGGGATCCTGCACCGGCGAAGATCTGCTCAGCTTCAGTCGTCGCAACCATGTGGTAAGTGAACCAGCAGATGAAAGATCTTTCTATCTCTCCATCTCTCTATAAATATGCCTTTTCAATAAAAACAAAATCTTGGGGGAAAAAAAGCAGTCTATGAACCAGCTCACATCTAGGAACAGCGTGAGTCTAACTTGGTGATTCGAGTCAGTAAGCCTCCTAATCACCTGATCTGTGATTTCACTAGGTCAGGCTGTCTCAGGCTGCTCATCCATCTGAGTTCTAGGAACACCAAAGGTCTCTGGGTCAGACTGTCCAATTCAATGTTCTGGCTGCACTGTCCATTACTCTCACCACACCCCTCTTTCCTCTGATGACTCGGGGTTACCACATGTCCCCCTCTTCAGGATCTTCTCTCCTCCACAGCTCTTGGGGATCACAGGACAATACATGTGCCCTGTGCCAAACACAGGGGAGCTTTAGCATAAATTTATTTTTCACCATCTTGATGAGAGCATCCAGATCCCCTTTGGGTAAAGAAGCAGGTGTTACATGATACACTCAAGCATTTCAACTTCCTAAATCAATTTTCTTTTATAGTACACCACGGAAGTTCCAGCATTTCAATTCATGTAGTATAGGCTCTAGGTGTGTCTATATTTCAATCAACAGGCAGATTGTTACAGGTATTCTCAGCTTCCCAAGTTAAAAATTTACCTCAAATCTCTGTTGAATGAGTATCAATAAAATTGGCTTAATCATTTCTTCCGTCATCCCAGACCCTTAAGTCACCTTCTCATACATTTCCCATAACCAGCAAAATTCCACATTTCAAGGGGCGCTGCCACTTCCATCTCTGAGTCTGCCCCACAAGTAGATGGTGGGTTAAGTCCTCACAAACACCAACCCTCAGAACATGACATGATGTCAGAAATCCAGTGAGTCTCCTTGTGACTTCCTCTTCTCTCCCTCAACCCAGATACTCACATGAGCAGGGAGACCCTTCCTCTGAGCTGGGACATGCACATCAACAACAGACTCTGCATAAAGGCTGGAGGTCAGCTGCAGGTTCATCTGTCATCTCCTGCCTTTAACTTTTCTCGGTTCCTCATTTGTAGCTGGCCCCTGGAATGCAGGATCAACACACTACCATCTTCCCCAAAAAGTACTCAAGTGTTGAGACCAATGACATTGCACACGTACTAGATTGCTCTGGTTTTTATTGTCCAGAGGGCTCAGCACACTGGTAAACGCCAGGGCTTGCATAATTTGAACTGCCCTTGCCTGGCACTATGATGGTGTGCCTCTGCTTTGTCAGTTTACTCACTTGTGGGGCAAAATAAGGCGCAGAGTTTGAAAGCTGTCAACAGCCAAATATTAAATGGAGGAGACTTAGCTTCCTCAGCCCAGATTGTCCTGCAGGATGCTACCTCCCTCATATCTCTCCAGTTTCTCAACGTTATCTGAATAACTCTTCCAATTCATTGTTAAAATCAGCACAGTTTCCATCTCCAATGCCCAGGCTGATATAGACCTTGTTGTTCTCAATATTAACTTAGCAGGTGTGGCAGAAAGTAGCATGGCTGAGAATCATCTCTGTCCTCCTCAGGATCCCAAATCCTCACCAAAATTACATATTGTAATTTCCGGATTTGGCTGCTCTTCCTTGCCAATGAAAAGTCAAAGGAAATGGAGCTTGCAATTTCTTATAAGCTGCATGCCATGTGTCAATGCGTGGAGATCATGTGTCAATACACAGAGAACATCATTTGCAGTATTCCATCACAAAGGCCCCGTGATGTTCAACCTCCCCTTGTGTTGACACCGAAGCCCTGAGAGCCAACAGCTCTCTCTGAGCAACATCATGTAGATGGCAGAACTAGGACTCCTATGCAGGCACAAGATGCCAGAGACCGTGCTTAAAAATACTTTTATTTTGAAATATCTTAAGCTGATAGTTAAAAAGAACCCATTACATTATCTTGTTAAAGGCTTAACATTCTGATGCAACTGTATCAATTTCTAAAAAGAAACAGTAAGGTTACTTCCATGGCCCCTCCCCAGGCTCACCCGCCTCTCCTGCCCTGGAGGAAGGCAGAGCAGCAACTTGTACAGATCATTCCAACATGTGACTTTACACTCATATTTTATCATTTGATTCCACGGAAACTACTGTGCAGAACAGTAACGCCACTGTCTGTTACATGCCAACGCACACATGCCAGACACTATCCTAAGTGCTTTACATGCATTACTTCTTTAACGGCCCCCCACCCCTAATCACTGTGTGGCTGATACTACTATTTAACAGAACGTGAAACACAATTTCATGTACTTAGAAACACAGAACATTTAATTTTACAGAAGTAGTATATTGCAGTTTACTTTCTCTGCATGGTTTGGACTTGTTTCTGCAAACACATAGCTCTCTTTCTAAAGTATCAGAAAACATTTACTGGTTCTTCTGTGATAAAATGTAGGTTTTTCCCAATCTTGCTACCTAAATAATACTGCAATAAGCCATCTTAGTCACTTCTTTCTTCACATGGGGTTGCTGTAGGATACATCCAGGAGTGCAGCTGCTGGCGAGCAGAAAGCTCACGTCTTCACAAGATTTCACACACTCCGTGGCATAATCATTGTCATAATTTCCACTCTCGATGCAGTGTGAATTTCTATTGTTCAACACACTTATTCATACTTAAGTTTTCAAGAATATGTCAATTTCATAACAATGAGGTTTTTTTGTTGTTTCTTTCTTTGTTTAAATTTCCACTGTTCTTGGCACATGCCTCCCTCTGGTCTAACAGTCTGTCACTAACAGTAGGGCTGAATTCACCTAACAAGTGATCAAAAGATCTGATATCCACTCTTCTTCGTGACTTCCCTGGTCCAATTCTCCCAAACCCCAACTTCAGTTCCTCCAAGGTTGCAGAGAAATGGGCAGGGCTAGAAACAGCATGCATGCTCTCCAGGTTAGGCTGGGACGATCAAAACTCAGAGCCATCAACACCTTGACTCCTAACCAGCAGCTGTGTGCTCTTGGGTGGCACACATCAACATTATACTCAAGGGCTCCTTCCAAAAACTCCAAACTTGACTTAAATTCAGTTCTAGATTTAACATAGGCAATCTTGTGCAGAAGCTCCACTGTGTGGCCACGGATCATTTCTCGGCTTTCTGGCTAAGATCAAGTATGTGGCCATGAATTAAGTCCCAAACCCAGGACTCCACAGTTAAATCGGTTTGGCTGTGGTGATGGGTGTAACTGGGAAATCAGACAATACCTAAGTGAGCAAGACAGGCTCCAGACATGAGGGGTTAGAGGAAAAGGTTTAGACGGATCCGACTCAACAGGGGCAGAGTTGTGGCACTCCAAGTGAAAGACACAGCATGAGGCAAGAGTCAGAGGTGTGCGTGGAGGAACAATCAAGGCAAATCTGACGCTGATTACATCAAAATGCCTAGCAGTTCACTCCCAGTAGTCAGACTTTTGCTTCTACGTTTTCACTCTGCATTTACCCATTTTTCTAGAATAGGTTGCATATAAAAAGAACTATTAGAAAATTCAGATTATAGATTGCATTAGTAAAATTCAAAAATACTGACAGCTTATTTCTACATGGAATGATTTCTGCTGATCTTGACTTAAAACCTATTTTAAATGTGCAAGCCCATCTTATTCTATAAAAATGACAGTAAAAACATCTCTGCTGGGGCAGCAACTTTACAAAGTACCAGATAACAGAAGGAGTAGTAAAATGATGGACTAAAGTATATTTCTATGGTTGTAACATCAACCAACATGAGGGCATGGGGGCTGGGGTGTGGCAGGGAGGCTGGACCTCTGTGAGGACTCTGTTGTAAGAGATATAATCCACAGCCCTCATCAACCGGAGTCGGGCAGTGTAGTGAGGTAAACTGAGGAAGATTGGCACAGGAATCTGATAACCAACACCGCTGTGCCAGGAAGACACGAGGAGCTCGGCACCCAGATCTGACTCCAAGCTCTTCCCATAATCCTGGGGCCAGAACACAGGTGTCTGGCTTCTGCTCTGTCATTTCTAGAGCCAGTCTGGGGCAGCTCTGTTAGGCAAAGAAGCACCTGATTCCAGGTCATGGTTAGTCACTGCTTTATAAAGGCAAGGGGATGGCAAAGCCAGGACACCGACAGGGGATGCCTGTTCCACCCACTCCTCACACTGTGACTCCACTCTGCAGCAGCATGTTCACCTGCCACGGCAAACCACAGGACACTGTGACTATTACTCTACCAACAGACTGTCCAAGATGGTTTCTTCTCATACAAGAAATGGCCTGCACTGTGAAAAGGTGACTTTCTTATAGCAGAGAGATGTAGTCACATTTATAATCTGTGCTCTTCAACACATTTATACATATCCCAGAAGTGTTGCTCCTTCACATTTGTCACAGATGATGATTCTTGCTTTTTGCTTCAATGCCAGTAGGTAGACAAGGGAGAAGGGGCCCCTTTCCCACCAGGTCATCCTCTTCCAGGGGCAACACGCATGTGACAGTGGTACCTTTGGGTTGAACCTGATGCCAGCACCAGATCTCACACACCAAAAGGGCAATAGAGGTGAAAGTGTACCTGCAGAGTTCTGAGACTAGGTAGAGAGATACAAAAGTAAGTCTTGCTGGTGAGTGCTCAAGATCTTCCAGAAAACTCACAAACTGGGTTAAAAAGTGCCAATCGTGGACACTGGTAGAAATAATTTCATAAGTCTTAGAGCCATGCTCTCTTACTGAGACATGAATCTCTTGAGTAACCCTTGCAGAATGCTTCAGATTCAAATCGCATCACTCAGTCAAGAACTATCCCTAAGACCCCTCCCTCCTGCCCTCTCTGAGGGAGTCCAAGCCCTACAGTGATCCACGACGCCCACTCAGGCCAGCCCATCGAGTCCACAGCCTCTGCCTCCCCTTCCGCTCGGTAAACTCCATTCTACACCAGGGTTCCTTTCTATCAGAAAAGACCCCAGGTCCTCTGCCTGGAATCCTCTCCCTAGACAGCCACGTGGTTTACTTCTTCGCCTCTTGGAAGACTGGACTGAAAAGTGACCTTCTCAGTAGTGACTCCTCCTGATCAGCCCACTGACGCAGCACGCCTCACTCCTCTCTGGCTCACTTCACCCACCATACAACACCACTCTCCAGAATAATGTATCCCTCATTTGTTTCCTGTCTGTGAAGACCCAGGACAGGACACACCACTCACATGCGTGCCTGTGTCAGGGAGGAGTTCAGCACATTTCTGCTGCTGCCTGTGTAGACCTGCATGGTGGAGATGGCGGTGAGGCACCAATATAGCTCCATTCTCCAAGCATTTGAGCCTGGCACCTTGCTTGCCTCTTCCTGATGAGACACACTAAGCCAATCGTGAAGTTGAAGGTCCAGCCAGAAAAGTCCCAGGAGGCATCTAGAGAGATCAATTCTTGCTGCTGCTGCTACTTCTGGTATCAACAGGACAGGAACTGTCACAGGTCAAGCTCAAAGAGAAACGCAGAATCCAACTAGCCTCAGCAGCTACAGCCCACCAGGCTGCAAATATTTTGTACAACCATAAAGGGTCTCTCTTTCTTTAGAGCTGTGGTGTGGGCTGTTGTGCACAGGCCATTCCTGGAGCTGGAGGAGCCCCAGGGAACTTGTTGCTCTGTCCCAGCACCTCTTTCTAGCAGGTGGGCTGGGACCTCAGCAAGCTTGTAAATCCTCAGAACTCTGCCACTAGCTTCCAAAATACAGAGGGCTGGGTCCTTTGCGAGGCATTCTCCACTACGAAAGACTCTCTAGCAGGGTAGCTAGGAGGGATTCCCCATCCCATCGTCATTGTCACTGTCAGGCCCTGCGCTAATCTCTGACGTGATTTTTCATGTGCCGGGCCAGGTTGGAAGACCACCTGAAAGTCTTGCCACACTCTCTGCATTTGAAGGGCCTCTCTCGAGTATGAAACCTCTTATGACTAATGAGCAGCGAATGCTTGTCAAAAATTTTCCCACATATGTTACATTTGTGGCACTTGCCCTCCATGGGCAAATTCTGCAGTTTGGGGTGCCTGGAGCTCTGGTCACCAACCTCCTTACGATCTTTCAGGGACATTTCTCCACTGGGTTTTAATTCCTGCATACTCAGTCCTGTGTCCTGAGCGGAAGATAACCCAGGCAAGCTGCACCCAGACTGCGTTGCTCTGCTGTGTTTTCTCTGATGAAGAGAAAGGGTGTGTCTCCCAACAAAATCCTTCCCACACCACTGACACTTGAACGGCCTCTCGGCAGAGTGGACTCTCTGATGGTTAATGAGGCGGTAATTTCTATCATAAGATTTCCCACACAAATTACATTTATAGCGCTTTTCTCCGCTGTGTATCCCCTTATGATCTAAAAGACTTCTTTTACGTGTGAAGGTTTTCCCACATTCTTGACAGTAAAAAGGTTTCTTTTCCGTGACGATGTCTGCCTTCAGAGTTGGAGTCTTCTGCCCTTCGTGACACTCATATGGTTTCTTCAAGGAGTGACGCCTCTGATGGCGGTAGAGGTTGGAGCTCCACCTGAAGGCTTTCCCACACTCCCTGCACTTGTAAGGCTTCTCTCTGGTGTGGACTCTCTGATGGGCGAGAAGGAAGGAATGATTGCGGAAGGCTTTCCCACACTGGCTACATTTGTAGGGCTCCTCCTTAGTGTGGCTGTCCTGGGGAACTTGGAGCACACTGTCCTGACTAGAAGATGGAGCACTCTCAGCTTTTCTTTTCATGTTATGCTTCTTCTTCTTATGAACAATGAAGGCCGACCTGTAGGCAAAGGCTTTCCCACAGTCGCCACACTGGTAGGGTTTCTCCCCGGTGTGAACTCTCTGGTGATCTATAAGGGTTGTCTTTCGAGTAAAAGTTTTCCCACACTGCTGACAGGGGAAAGTTTTCTCCCCAGTGGCTGCGTCCTGAGGTTCCCTGTAGTTCTCCTGCCTTAAGTCTTCCTGACATTCCTGTTGTTTAAATAACTGTTCCTCTCTGTGCGACCGCACATGACGAGTGAAGTTGGACCTCCACCGAAAAGTCTTCCTACATGTGGTGCATTTATAAGGTTTCTCCTGGGTGTGAATCCTTTGGTGTTCCACAACGTACGATTTACAATGGAAGGATTTTCTGCACTGGTTGCAGTCAAAGGGTCTCCCACCATCTTGGTCTTGCAAATGATAAGCAAACTCTGTACTGCAGTTGAGAACTTCTTCATACGGATTCGTTTTTGACTCCAGAAACTTGCGTTTTGCATGGGTTTTCTGATGCAGACGGTAGGCTGACAGACGCTGGAAAGCTTTCTCACATAAACTACACTTGTAAGGTTTCATCCCAGTGTGAATCTTCTCGTGCCGCACACAATTTGAGCTCCATCCAAAAGCTTTCCCACACACCCTGCATTTAAACGGTTTCTCTTGAGTGTGGTGCCTCTGGTGATACGCCAGATGGGAGCTCCGGCTGAAAGTCTTCCCGCAGTCACCACACTTGAACAGCATCCTTGCCAAGTGAAGACTCTGCCCGTGCTGGGAGTGAGAGCTGAGGCTGAAGCCTTTTCCACACAGATCCTTCTCGTTGCCTTTGAGCCCAGTATGCATTCTCTGATGTAGGCTGAAGCTCCCGAGCATGCGTCTGTGCGCTTTCCCATGCTTCTTGTAGTCATAATGGTGTGAACTCGTTCTGAAGTATCTGCCACAGCCATGTTTAAGGGACTGCTTTCTTTTGGAAACTGGCATATAGGTAACATGTTTCACTTCACTACTATTCCCTCCTCCTGGTATTTGTGGTTCCTTTTTATATCCGTCACTGCAATCAGTCTCCTCTTTTTTATCTCCCACTTGTACATTTCCACACTGTTCATTTGACCTGTTCTTTGGCTCAGAAGATTCTTGCAGTTCCGTTCCCTCAGAAACACTGATTACAGGACACACGGCTAACACAGCACAGGTTTCTGCTTCTTCCAAAGGCTCCTGTTTTAAGATGAACTTGTCTGTCTGAATCTGGAGCTCACTTCCTGACAAAAATAAAACAAGAGAAGGAACTCTTATTAAATGAAAAAAAAAAAAACAATTCTATTTGCTTGAGACAGAGAGGAAGATAGAGACACAGAGATAGACAGAGAACCCCCATCCACCTGTTCACTGCACAATGTCCACAATATCTTTATTTTGTGAAGATCCTGGCAGTCAGGCAAAAATCATGCCCTGTAGGGTCACGGCATTGAGTTCTGGTCTAGCACTTTAGAGGACAGTCAAGAGGCCCATATCCTATATCAAACAGCCTGGATTGAATTCCTGGCTCCAGCTGCCCATCTCTTCAGTGTCTGGGAGGCAGCATTCATGGCTCAAGTAACTCAGTTCCTGCCACCTACACAACAGATCTGGACTGAGTTCTTCACTCCTGGCTTCAGCCTAACCCAGCTCTGGCTGTTGAAGCACTTGGGAAGTGAACCAGCAGGCAACCTCCCTACACTATCTTGGACCATTTCTCTGCTACTATGCCTTTCAAATAACAGTGTTGAAAAACAAAAAGATCTTCCTTCCTTCCCGTGAACAATGGAGGAAGTCCCCAGTGACAAGACTTGATCTTTAGAAAGGGAAGAGCATGTGTGGCATTTGGCACAGGGATCACATTGCCCACATCCTATAGTGGATCTCAGTTCTGCTTCCCATTCCAGCTTTCTGCTACTGTGCACCCTGGAAGGCAGCAGGTGAAGGCTCAAATAGTTCTGCCACCCAAATGTGAGACTCGTGCTGAGGACCTGGCTCCTTTAAAAACTAAAAGAATAGATAACAAGACAGGCAGGACCTGGTAAGGGTCTTGAACTCACCAGTGGGAGCATCAGCTGGCCCTCTCTTAGCTTGGGGTTCCTGGACATTTGGGCCCCATGGTTCTCTTGCTTCCAACCAGGAGATCAGAGCAGGTTTGGAGAATGGTCCCACTGCAGTAAAGGGAATGAGATGGATCACATGGGACCTTCCAGACTGATAAGGTAGGGAGATGGGAAGGCCAGGAAGGCAAGTGGAAAGGAGGTCAGGCAGGGGACCCCACAGCCATTTTTGGTAGCCCTGGGCAGAGACAAGGAAGACTAAGAGAAGTCAAAGGCAAAAAGACTGTTAGGAACCACACAACCACTTAATTTGTTCAACCAGCCAATATTTTCTTTGAAGATCTTACACGGGCTAATAACTGGAAACACAGTCCATTTAATCTTTATAATAACTCAGTGTAAAGCGTTAATAATTCCAGTTTCCAAAACAGGACAATGAGATGCTAGACTAAATGACCAGGCTAGTAGTCACAGAACTAGGAAGAAACCAGGTCAGGCCCTTTCTACAGTGCACACTAAAAGCCAACAAGATAGAGTGAAGGAGATGTGCACACGGGGAGATGGATGACTTACTCAGAGAAGCCACGTTCCCGTAATTCTCTAGCATCACATCCCTGTACAGGTTCCGCTGAGCCGAGTCCAGCAGTGCCCACTCATCCTGGGAGAAGATCACCTCCACGTCCTTGAAAGTCAAAATTGCCTGAAAAAACACTGTGGCCTAGAGCTGGGCCATAGCTCCCAGCTTTTGGGGAGTTAGGGGCCGGGGTCTGGGGCTGGTGCTGAGCGAGCACAGAATAGATATGGCAAAGGGAAAAGAAAAGATCTCTCTGCAAAGGCGTTCTGGGTCGGGGGGATAAGCTGTTCTCTGGAACATGGGCTTCTGCTGTGAGGTCACTGGGCAGAGAAAACATAAGACAAGGGAGTGGCAGCACACCTTCAGGCAACAGTGTGGAGACCCAGGGAAGGAGGGAAGCCCCGCAGCTTACCTGGGGCTGGGCTGGTGGGGAGCTTGTTGCCTTCGCTTGGTCCCCAGGGCTCCCCTCTCTCTGGGAAAGGGAAGGCACCTGGGCAGCATGGGGATCTGAAGGAAAACAAAGAACTGTGAGAGAGCCACCTGGCTCCAGATGTCCCACTGAGAAGCCCACTCTTCCCACAGACAGAGGACTCCTAGACCCACGAGCAGGGAGGTACAGACTGTTGGTAAACACCCGTCTCACAGTTCTCAGTGTCTGTCAGGGGCTGGGCAGGGAGAGTAGGGGGTGCAGCAGGAGAAACTGGCCAGACGTGGCTCACAGAAGAGACAGAAAGGACGAAGGGCTAAGAGCCAGGCCATAGTTTCATGGAGGACAAATGGTGAGGACAACATTAAAGGAAATCCGAGAGACGTGGCATGAGGCTGGGGTCTTGGAGCCAGGCAGCAAGTACCGGATTGCCCAGCCAGGAAGTCACGCACTCCTATTTCATAGGGAGGCTCCAGCTGGTCCCCCGGAGCAGGACCACTCCTGAGAGGTGAAGCAGGGGGCCATAGCTTTGTGGCTCGCAGGGCTCCTGTACCCATCCAATGCACATCTTGGCTCTGGACAGGGCCTGGGTCCTGGCAAGAAGAAAATGTTGTGAGAGGATTCCCCATGGGAATCAGAAAGCAAACTCTAGGCTCTAACAGGGCTCCCAGCCTATCACTAAAGGGCAGAGGCTAAGGGTGGGACCAGCCAGGTAGAGCCCAGGGCGGCCCCTCCCACCTCTCAGCCTCCCTGGGCTCTAAGTAGGGCCCTGGGGGAGTAGAACACTAGCTCAACAGAAGCCCTTGACAAGTCACTGTGGCACTGCCCTCCGTCCTCAGCTGTCAGGGGCACCTCACCCACTCTCAGGCCTGCAGAGTTGACCTGATGATGGTTCTCTCTACAGGTCCAAGCCGAGCATCGCTCTAGGCACTACCACATACAATGACCTCACAGAACACGGAGAGCTCCCGCACTGCAAACTTGACTGAAAAGCCGTGTCTCCAAAGGCTCTGGGAACTATGAGGATTAGCCCTGGAACCAGAAGTCTCAGGCACAGAAATAGGCCGTGTCCATTCAAGCAGAGACCAGGATGTGGGACCTTTGCCCCGGGAGTGTAAAGTGCCCTGGTCTGACGCAAAGTGGTCTTTTACAGAGATGTGAGGGCAGAAGGTAACGCCACTGAACGTCGTCCTGACCCTGTGGCCAAATATATGCTGCCCTGATATGGACAAGCCTCAGCCTCTGGTCATTAAACACCTGGTGGGGAGATACAAACTAGAGACCCTGAACTGACCACAGCAACCACCTCCTATTCCACTCAGGCCCCTCCAAAGGGAGAACAAGAGAAAAACAGAAGCACAGCCAAACAAGCTAATGACAAGCTTTCTTAATGCCTGGTTTTCATACTGTAGTATTCCTGATGAATCACAGGATGAGTCTGTGGCCATAAATGCACTATAAACATTTCTGTTCCTTTTTTAGGATTTTGGAGGTTTTCTCTCATCTCCCGCAGTCTTCTGATGTTGAACCAGCTTTCAACCAATTTGGCCCTTTCTGTTCAATGTTTTCACGGATTTTAAAACCTTACTTGTAACTCTACATTAACTGAATACAACCAAAGCACAAATTAGGTCCTTCTGAACATCTCATTATTTTGGTAATAATTGTAAATGCTCTTTCAGATTTTTAAAAAATAATACTCAATGTTGAACAAAAATATAAATTTTTAATGGCTATGGCTTGATATATTTCTATTTACTGATGGTAGACCATGCTCAGAGGTACTATTTGGGCTCATTTTTGTAGTAAATTTTGGAGAAATATCAAATTTATTTCAGAAATCATAGCAGCAATTTTCAATTATATGGGAAATACACATGAAAAATTAAATACTTTTCTATAAGTAAAATTTGAGAGTCCTAAAAAATCGCCCCATTTAGAAAACTCAGAAGTTACAGGCGGCATCAGCTTCCTCACGCACAGCGGGGGCAGACGGATGCACCAGCCTCACACTCTCCATCACCAGGTTGGGGGCGTCAATGCCACTCAGCGCCAAGGGCACAGCCAGCTCACAGGTGAGGCATTCAAACCCAGACTGGACAAGTCCTCTGGGTAAGATCCTTTCTGCACGTTCTTCTCAATAAACCTAGGCTCTGAAAGGCACAGCAAGGTGACCAAGGACATTGGAGGCTATGGAACAAAGTTTAAGATTGAGGTTTCCCAATGTCCCAGCCCAGGGCTGCCCCATGGCACTTATGTGGAACCCAGTCCCACACTCACACACACTCCATGCAGACTGCTCCCTGGACGTGAATGGATACTCTCCCACTCAAAGGCCAAGACTCCTGTCCTTAACATCATCCCCTTCCTGTCCCATCACTTTTTGGGTTACAGGCAGTATGTAGAGCTGGACTCTGCAGCATAAGCCAAGGTGTGGGTTCTGCCATTGGCAGACAATCGCTGACTTGATCCTGGAGCTGAGGTTCCTCTGGCAAGGGGGAAGGGCCACCCAAAGGCCACGGCTCAGGTCCAGGTGACCTGGGCATAGGAAAGGAAGATTTCCCTTGTACTCCTCAACACTGACAGTTTGGAGGGCCACCCCAACCCAGACAAGGTAGTTTACCAGCAGGCAGAGCTGCCTGGGCACCACACCTGCTCATACTCACCCTCCACAAAGTCCCATCAGAATCCTTCTGCAGTTCCTCCAGCAGGGCCACAGCCTCGTCACCGCTCTCGGGGCGATGCAGCTGCACCCAGGTCCGCAGCTCCGCAGGCAGGATGCTCAGGAACTGCTCCAGCACCAGCAGCTCCAGCATCTGGGCCTTGGAGAGAACATCAGGCCGCAGCCACCAGCGGCAGAGCTCCCGCAGCCGGCTCAGTGTTTCTAGGGGTCCAGAAGACTCATGGTACTGAAGCTGCCTGAAGAGCTGTCGGAACAGCTCCTGGCCAGGACGGTTGAGTGTCTGTGGCCTGGCAGGCTGTACTGACACGTAGCCTTCATCCTCATACTCTTTCTTGACCACCTGAAAGCGCCCACGCTCCCTTGAGGCATGGGCCTGAGCAGGATGGACCGTGTACCACCTGCCTGGAGGCATCACTCCTGACTAGGGTCTGTCCAGCAGAGCTCAAAACAGGTCCGCTTTCACTGTGCTGCTGCAGTGTCCTCGGGAGCGTCCTCTCAGCACGGCAGGAGACAACGCCATGTACCGCGACACCCGAAGTCACTAGCAAGAAACTGAAAAACCGACATTCCTGTTCAGGAGAGGACAGAGGAATGACATCCGTTACACATGGTGCTGTTAGATCCGATCGCTGGGATACTTGGACTCCAGGGGAGGGAACATGCGCCTGAGCCTCGCGCAGATTTGCTGGCTGGTGTGAAGCAGCCCAGGGCAAGACTGTCTCTGAACTCTAGATTTAGTCTGGGTGTTTCCCAAAAGTCCATGGGCTAAAGGCTTTGTCAGGGTGATGCCAGCGGGAGGCAGTGAATCTTTAGAAGATGGGGCTGGCAGAGTTTCTAGGCAATTTTCACAACCCCACTCTCTGTTTCAAGGCTGCCCTGTGATTCCTCTCTGCATACACTCCATGCCCCACCACCGCCCCTATTGCAGGCTTCACCAACGGGGCTGCCTGATCTATCTTGGACCTCCAAAGCCTGAGCCAAAATAAGCCTCCTTCCTTCTTTTTTTTTTTTTTAAGATTTATTTATTTATTTTTATTACAAAGTCAGATATACAGAGAGGAGGAGAGACAGAGAGGAAGATCTTCCGTCCAATGATTCACTCCCCAAGTGAGTGCAACAGCCAATGCTATGCCGATCCGAAGCCAGGAGCCAGGAACTTCTTCCAGGTCTCCCACACGCGGGTGCAGGGTCCCAAGACTTAGGGCCAACTTTGACTGCTTTCTCAGGCCACAAGCAGGGGGCTGGATGGGAAGTGGAGCTGCCGGGATTAGAACCGGCGCCCATATGGGATCCCGGTGCATTCAAGGCGAGGACTTTAGCCACTAGGCTATGCCGCCAGACCCCAAGCCTCCTTTCTTCTTACAGCAACGAAAAGCTGCTACTGAGGAGTAGGTCATTCCTAAAACTAAACCTAAAAACACGGAGGCAGTCATGGAACTGGTCAACTAACGGGCTGGGGAAGCATGGGGAAATGCCTACAGTGCTGGGAACAGAGCATCCCAAGTGACTAGCAGAGGCTCTGAAGGCCTGAATGCTGACGGAAACGTGGCAGGAAGGCTACACTGGTCCAGGATCTGCTGGAACTGGACTAAGGGGTATCCTGGGGGACCGACTGGATGTGACTGCATTGCAACAGGGACATGATTGTCTGGAGGCCGTGGCTAGAATACCAGGGTTTTAACAGCAGTTTGTTTGCCCACCAATAGCCCAGTTATGAAAGGGTTGGTCCTCAGAGTGGTGCTCCTGGAGGATGGTGGCACCTTCACGAGGCAGGACCTAGAGACGGTCATCAGGTCACTGAGAGCAAGCCCTCACAGTGTTTATTTCCACAGACGCTGCCTGTAACCAGCTGCGCCAAGCCCAGGAATCATCTCTGTTTCCTAGCTGGCCATGTTGCGTACTCTACCACTGCCACCTTCCTTAGAGGCCAATCCAACAAGGCTGCCTGATACTGAACCTTAAACTCCAAAACTATGAGCCAAAACAAACTTTTTGACTTCATAAATATCCCAGGACATGTATTTCATTATAATAACAGGAAGTTAACTAACACAACTGTCACCTATAAACTAAGAATATATCCTACAATATAGCAAAATAAGTATTGGCATATAACTACAAGCTATATAAGCTGGGTGTTGTGGGTGATGCAACTCCACTTTTGATCCAGTTTCCTGCTAATATGTCCCTGGGCGACAGTAGTTGATGCACACAAAAATTCTCACACTGGGCCCGGCGTGTTAGCCTAGTGCCTAAAGTCCTCACCTTACATGAACTGGGATCCCATATGGGTGCCAGTTTGTATCCTGGCTGCTCCACTTCCCATCCAGCTTCCTGCCTGAGGCCTGGAAAAACAGCTAAATATGGCCCAAACCTTTGGGATCCTGCATCCATGTGGAGACCTGGAAGGAAATTCCTGGTTCCTGGCTCCTGCCTTCAAACTGGCTCAGCTCTGATCGTTGCTGCTACTTGGGGAGGAACCAGTGGATGGAAGATCTTTCTCTCTGTTTCTCCTTCTCTCTGTAAACCTGAGTTTCCAATAAAAATAAACACATCTTTTTAAAAAATTCTCACTCTATCTCTATTCCTAGTTATAGTAAAAGCTAAAGCCAGTCACCTCTCCTCAATCTTCCTAAATCATTTTTAGGTCGGCCTCAAGGATTGCTTTGCCTTCCTCAGAAAGCATCATGAAGTGAATATGGACATGAATCAAATGGCTATTCCTCTGCACTGCTTCCCATCCAGCTCCTTCTTATGGCCTGGAAAAATAGTGGAGGATGGCCCAAGTCCTTGGGACCCTGCACCTAACTGGGAGACCCGGAAGAGGCTCCTGGCTTTGGAACAGTTCAACTCTGGCCATAGTAGCCACTTGGGGAATGAACCAAGGGTGGAAGATACCTCTCTCTCTCCTTCTCTATGTAAATCTGCCTCTCAAACGAAAAATTAAATAAATTTTTAAAAGAAAATAAAGTAATAAAGCCAATGCTACTCATGAGATAAATACTATTAAAAAATTCAAAAGAAACAACTTAAAAACTGTTAGAATAAGAGGTCTTTAAGGACGCTGAATTTGCAAACAATATATAATCAATAATTTTCCAATATCACAGCAAGAACCCATCATGAACCAGATCAACACATGCAGTAACCCCTCAAAAAAAAAAAAAAAAACAAGGGTAATAAAGTACATTTAGGAACTTACTAAAGAAGCAGAAAACTTTGTCAAAAGACCTAATCTATCTGAATAAATTTTGCTTAATTATGGGAAGACAAACTTCCAAGATATCAATCATCCTAAATTAACATGCAAAGTCAATAAACTCTCAAGTTCCAGTAAAACTTTAAATTTTACATGGTGTAAAATTCAAACAAATTAGTAAATTTCCAGAACAGCCAAGACAACTTTCTAGAGGAAGAATGATTCAGCCTCCCAACAACCAGGCTTTATTTATTCATTTATTTTAAAAGGCTGATTTATTTGTATTGGAAAGGCAGATATGTAGAGAGGAGAGACAAAAAGATCTTCCATCCACTGGTTTACTCCCCAAGCACTACATGGCCAAAGCTGAGCTGATCTGAAGCCACAAGCCTCTTCCAGGTCTCCCATGCAGGTGCAGGGTCCCAAGGCTTTGGGCCGTCCTCTACTGCTTTTCCAGGCCACAAGTAGGAAGCTGGATGGCCAGTGGAACAGCCAGGATTAGAACCAGCTGCCCATATGGGATCCCAATATGTACAAAGCTAGGACTTTAGTCACTAGGCTACCGTACCAGGCAACATTAAAGCTTTATAAAGCTAACTTAAAGGAAATACCACATATTATTGAAGGATTATGCAAGCAGCACACAAAAGAGACAATACAGATTCCTAGCACAGGCTTAGGAGAGGCTTCAAGAAGTTCCTAGAAGAACTGAATTACTAGATAATGCCATTTTTTAGAAATTTTGGGGGCACGACATGATAGCAGAGTGGCTAAATCCTCACCTTGTATTTGCCAGGATCTCATATGGGCTTCGGTTCATATCCCAGCTGCTCCACTTCCCATTCAGCTCTCTGCTTATGGCCTGGGAAAGCAGTCTAGGATGGCCCAAAACCTTGGGAACCTGCACCTAGGTGGGAGACATGGCCACATGGGAGATCCAGAATAGCTCCTGGCTCCAGTCAGCCCAGCTCCGGCCAGTGCAGCCACTTGGAGAGTGAATCAGTGGACGGACGATCTCACTCTCTGTACATGTAACTTTCCTATATAAATAAATAAATAAATCTTTTTTTAAAGAAATTTGTAAAGCCACTCATATATACACAAATATTTGGTGCTAAAAGTCAGAGGAAAAGAATAATCTATCCAATGTTTGGGCCAAATGTCAAGGGAAATTAAAAATTTGAAAATCACACAGAAGTTAACTCATCTGAAAGACCAAAATTTCAAAAGCAAAAATGAAAGAAAAAAAGTAATAAGAACCCTGGGTTACGTGTGGGCTGGATAGTAGGGTTGGTTGGGTTGAACTAGGCTTCCATGCCCATTGACATGTACGAGAGCTAAATGGGATGTGGGACCGATTGAACAAGCCTGCGGTATATACTGGCATGCATGGGAATCAGGATAGGGGCAGGCCTGGTAGGGGTTATGGAGAGTCGCCCCAACTAGGCTGCAGCTCCCACTGGTTTGCGTAAGCACCGAGTATGAAGTGGGCAGGATTGGGCTGGACTGCAACACCCATCAGTTCGCGTGGAAGACAGGGCTGGAAACAGAACTGACCCAGCAACTGCAACCACTAGCATGTGGATAAGCTGACTGAGGTGATGGACTGTGCCAGACACTGTACTGGCAAGCACACACAAGAATCAGGTCTGGAGCACTTCAGACAGTTTCTTTGGAGAACCCTCCAACTGAACTGCTGATCGCAGAACTTAACCATGAAGAAACTATGTTAGCCAGTGGATTCTGAATAGATTTCATTGCGACTGGAACAGTGAAACTGGCAGCAATTAGAACTGTTGAAGTATCAAAACTGCATGAGCAGGACCCTCGGAGCATGCCTCACATCAGGGACCTTGGATGGGTGGGAGGCTGGGTGGGGTTTTTCCCTTTGTTTCTCCCCTGATCCTGGATACAGGGGAAAAAATGATGATATTAGTGTGGAAACAATGGTATTACCCATATTCCTGTAGCCCTTGACCCTATGTACCCTAATCAACTAAGTACGATTATAAAAAGAATCTTGAGTTTAAAAATGACTTTAAGATTGTAATACACCATAAGACACATTGTGGCTATAACTTTAAGGCTGCCCTAAGGTCTGATTAAGTATCCCACAAGGCCCAATTAGCCTAACCCACATCAGCTAGCTGCATGATGCAACCTGCCCGAGGTCTCCAGGAGACAAGGCCACTTCAGCAGCAAGGCAACTTTAAATCCTTAAAACAAGGCTGAACCTGACAAAAACAACTTAAACTCCCTTTATGAAACATCTTAGAACTGATCCACATGGAATAAGGGATAAGATCAGGAAGGATTATGCAAACTTTATCTGCAAAGACCATGTTGGAATTCATGGCCAGCATAGCCAAAGGGAGCAAACTCAACCCCGCCCCGCCCCCAGCCCTTTGTAACAAAGCTGCCTACCCTCAGCACCCTGTGCCTGTAACCAGCAGCCACAGGTCGCCTGCAACATTCTTCTGCTGGACGAGTCTCAACAGTTACTCTCTCAAACCCCTCTGGCCTGGCCAAGCGTGATCTTCACCTCTTGCCTCAGACTGACAAACGCCACCTCCACTGACACCCCCAGACCTATTCTTCAACAAGCCTGTTCTAGCTTCACCCTTTCCCCACAGTCAGAGTCAGCAGGTCATCCAGCACCGTCACTGTGTTTGCTCCCTGGTGTCACTACAGCCTCAGAGCAGTGCTGCTGAAAGAATACCGAAAAGCAGGCACTCAGCCCTGTGCTGGATGAGTCCCAGCCGAGAAATTGGCCAGCGAAAATCATCTACAATCCCTGCAAGCAACCGCAATACACTGAA